TGTTTATAGAATTTGTTTTAACCAGATGAGCAACAGTTTCTATAAGCTGGACCTACAGACATGAAAGTGGTCTTCATATGACTGTTTTGATGTTAGGTGGTGGCATTTGCTGTTGTGACATTTTACTTGTAGAGCTTTAGGCCTAAATGTCGGCCAAATTGTGGTCCTTGTATATGGCTTTTACTTTTACTGTGCTTTCAATTGTCTGTCCCTATGTCTGGTTTTAGTTAAACCTCAAATTTAGTTGCATATAGAATGTTCTGCAAAATGAAACTAATAGTAGGAGTATTGTGGAATTTTATTTATTTATTTATTTAAGATAAGCTCTGTCACCCAGGCTGGAGTGCAGTGGACTGATCATAGCTCACTGCAGCCCCAAACTCCTGAGCGCAAGGGATCTTCCTGTCTCAGCCTCCTGAGTAGCTGAGACTAGAGGTGTGTGTCACTACACCTGGCTAATTTTTGGATTTTTTTTGTTTTTTGAGATGGAGTTTCACTCTTGTTGCCCAGGCTGGAGTGCAATGGTGCGATCTTGGCTCACTGCAACCTCTGCCACCCAGGTTCCAGTGATTCTCCTGCCTCAGCCTCCCAAGTAGCTGGAGTTACAGGCACATGCCACCACATCCAGATAATTTTGTATTTTTAGTAGTGACGGGGTTTCTCCATGTTTGTCAGACTTGATCTTGAACTCCTGACCTCAGAGGATCCACCTGCCTTGGCCTCCCAAAGTGTTGGGATTACGGGCGTGAGCCACCGTGCCCAGCCTGTTTTGTTTGTTTTTTGTTTTTGTTTTTGTTGTTTTGTGGATTTTTTTTTTTTTTTTAAGTCGGGATATTGCTGTGTTGCCTAGGTGGTCTCAAACTCATGGCCTCAAATGATCCTCCTGCCTCAGCCTCCCAAATCTTTCAGATTGCAAGCATGAACCAGGAGATGAGGTTACAGTGAGCTATGATAGAGCCATTGCAGTCTAGCCTGGGTGACAGAGCCAGATCCTGTCTCTAAATAAAAAATAAAAATGGAAAGAACAATGAAGAGAAAAGCACTCACTCTAACATTTCAAAACAGTGACATCAATTGTAAAAATTTGGAGGATAGAATTTCTCTGAATCTAGTTTTGTTTTGTTTCGATTTTTTTTGTTGTTGTTTTGTTTTTTTGAGACAGAGCCTTGCTCTGTCACCCACGCTGGAGTGAAGTGGCGTGATCTTGTCTCACTACAACCTCCGCTTCCCGGGTTCAAGGGATTCTCCTGCCTCAGCCTCCCAAGTAGCTGGGACTACAGGTGCATGCCACCATGCCCAGCTAATTTTTGTATTTTTAATCGAGATGGGGTTTCACCATGTTGGCCAGGATGGTCTCGATATCTTGATCTCGTGATCTGCCGCCTCGGCCTCACAGAGTGCTGGGATTACAGGTGTGAGCCACCGTACCTGGCCACATAACTTTTACTATGTGCAAGATACTTTTCTCAGTAATTTATAATTTTTAGCTCTTAATTCCTACAGAAGTCCTTTGAGACACTATTATTATCCCCAATTTACATGTGAGGAAACTGAGGTTCTGAGAAGTTAAATAACTTGCCTGAAATCCACATAACTAGCAAGTGATGGAGCCAGGATTTGACCTTAGTCATTCCCGCGTTGGAGTCTGTGCTCTTAATACATTGTACGGCCTCTCTGATTTGTGAGTGAGTGAATAAGTGTTTTGAGATTTTAAGTATTGGTACCACTTGTACTCCACTTTTGCTGGAGGATGGATTCTAGGCAGGAGTCTGATGCATTGAGGATGTTAATGAATTGAGCAAATACTCACTGAGCACCTGCTTTGTGTCAGGGATATGAAAGTGCTTGACAGACAAGGTTCCTGCCTTCAAAGAGCATATGTTTCGGGGGGAATCTCACAGTAAACAAGTGAAAACAGACATGGTAATTTGAGATTATCAGTGCGATGGAGAAAGTTAACTGTTACAGTACATTGCAGGGATGGGTTCTGTGGGCAGTGTGTCACACAGGGTTTAATGTCATAGCCTTCATGGTTGGATATTATCTCCCCATTTTTTTTTCTTTTTCCCATTTATTTATTTTCTTTTCTTTCTTTCTTTCTTTTTTTTTTTTTTTAAAGACTGGCTCTGGCTCTGTCACCCAGGCTGGAGTGCAGTGGTGCAAGCTCAGCTTACTGCAAACTCTGCCTCTCTGGCTCAGAGTATCTACCTCAGACTCCCTAGTAGCACACACCACCACACCTGGTTAATTTTTTTCCATATTTTGTAGAGACAGGGTCTCACTTTGTTGCCCAGGCTGGTCTTGAATTCCTGAGCTCAAGCAGTCTGCCCGCCTTGGCCTCCCAAAGTTGCTGGGATGACAGGTATGAGCCACTGTGCTTGACTCCCAATTTTTTTTTCTAATTCACCCATCTGCTGAATTAAAGGAGAGTGTTAAATACAAAAATGAATTTATTATGCAAATCTGCAGTTATAGTGTATGTTCCTTTGGACTTGTAATAAGGAAGTATGTTCTAGTATTGAAGAAATAGAACCAGAGAGAAATACTGCTCTAAAAATTAAAAAAAAAAAAAAAAAAAAACACCAAAATAGGGTAGCTTCCAGCTATCGTACACGCCAAGAGTTAGCATGCCAGGCTGTTGGGCCTGACAAAGTGGTCCCTGGCTGCTGTCCATAGTGCACTATTGGCAGGTCTGTTTTTGTTGAAGCTTCGGGTCACCGTGTGCCAGCCTATGTATGTTGTCTTCTGTCATTTTTTTTTGTAGAATCTAGGGCAGGATCCTGAGGTCATATACATTACCGAAAGGGAGTTCTAGTGTGATCGTAGTTTATAATAACAGCAGTTTTCATATTGAGTGCCTTCTACGTGCCAGACTCATTTCATGGTAACAGCTTTGTTTATGGAGAAAGAGGAGAAAGCCTAAAGAGGTTAAACAACTTCTCCAAAGTCACACAACTCAGGAGTGTGAAAACTAAGATTAAACTCAGTTCAGTCTTATTCCATAGTTTATATGATCTTACCTTTTAACTAGATTGGTTTTCATGCTTCACTTCACACTGAAGAATATGTAAGAGCTTTCAAAAGTGAACTTCAAAGAGCCCTCTTCGCTTCATCCAGTAGAAGGACAATGTATTTTCCAGTTCCAAATTTCTGGAGTAATTAGTTTTCAAAGAGCAGCTAGTAGAGGGGGGAGTACTTGATGAGTATGTATATGGAAAGTTAATGTGTTCTTGACATGTCTTTTTATTTGGTAAAGGACAGCCATTTTCTCTTTAAGTCATTGAATTAGTTTAGGAAAGTTACAGATTAACTTGCAAATTAATTTTTTAGATTTCTGTGACTTCATTGGATTTGGTGCCCATATTAATGCGTTATAATATAGCCTTTAATTTGATATTTCTCACTGTTACTTTATAAGATCAGCCAGGTTCTTTAATATTAGAGAAAGAAACTGAACTGTAGACTCCTGACTGGCTAGCTGTTTAATTTCCACTGTTTTACTTTAAATCACTCTGATGCTATAGTTCAGTTTTTAACTTAACCTTAACCCTGAAAACTTCCATTATTAATTTTGAATTCATTTTGTTTAAAAGGATGCTTTTAAATCTCTTTGTATGACACTGCCCAGTTTGGTAGCTACTAGTAACATGCGTTAAGCGCTTGAAATACAGCTATTCTAAATTGAGATGTGTTGTAAATGTAAAATATGCACTGGATTCCAGAGATTTAAGAAGAAAACAGGATGTAAAAATCTCATATTTTTTCTGTTGATTACATGTTGAAATAATATTTTGGATATATTGGGTTAAATAAAGTTAATTTCACCTTTTCACTGTAATGAGGTTACTAGAAAATTTTTATGTGGCTTGCATTATATTTTCTGCTGAATAGTGCTAATATTTGTAATCAGTAATGTCAAACTATGTGCTGTAAAATTTAGACAAACCTAGTATGTCTGTATGTGCTGTTTTTTATCTTCTAGAAACTAAAGCTCACCTAATTATTGTCATAATGAAAATGTTTATTTAAATACTTGGACCTATATTGCTTGGGATTAAGCTTGGGATAAGCCACATGTGGAAACTCCTGGGTACAGCTGTTGTTAGGGGAGGTGTGAGAGCATTCGTTAGGATGATAGGTGAAAGGAAGAGAACAGTGATGATTAATGTGATGCTAGTAATGCAGGTCATAATATGACTTTAGTGAATCAGACATTGCTTTTTAGGGGGAAGCATAAGTCACATTGCTTCTCTAAGATATTTTCTTAAAATATTTCCAGTATTTAAGACATTTAAGATATTTTCTGTAGTTTTATTAAGAATAAATCATTTGAAACAAAATTGAAGAAAAAAATGGTGTTTCTTGGTTTGCAATCCTTTTTGTGTTGCTGGACTTTATTTTTTGGACTTTATGAAATTTCATATTAGGGAACTGGATAATATTTACTATTCGATTAAGTTTTAAGATATTTTCTTAAATAAAAATAAAAATCATAAAGCTTTCTAGAAGTAAAATCTACTAATAAGCCCTACAGTAAGTCTCCTTTATAGTAGTGTGAGTAAGTATTATTTATCTGACTCCTCTCGTATAGTCTGGAGGAGCTGAAGGATTAGTCTTTATAAAATGATTCATAAATGGGTTTATAGTTAATTTTTATAAACAATATCAAGGCATGTGCTAAGTAACGTCAAAAATGTAAAAATATTTGTTCTGTTATTAGTATTTGATTCATTACTTGAGGTCCCTGTTTGCTCTGCTAGGCACTTGTTAGATGTTTTTGTATTAGTTGGCTGTGTGGCAGCTAGGGAAGGAGGATGTACTAAAGCAACATAGCTTCCTCACTTTGTAATTTACCTCCCAGCTTTGTTTACCTGGCAGCACAGCCAAGGAGAAGGTGAACCAATGACATTCTTAAAGTTGACCTATTTGAGGAGTTATTCACTAGGGTTCTACTTTCTTGCAGGTAAGACTCTTAATATATTTTAATATAAATTTTGCAGATCCTTCTGCTGAGGAATTGAGAAAACTAATGATGTTGCATGGAGGTCAATACCATGTATATTATTCCAGATCTAAAACAACACATATTATTGCCACAAATCTTCCCAATGCTAAAATTAAAGAATTAAAGGGGGAAAAAGTAATTCGACCAGAATGGATTGTGGAAAGGTAAGTTTAATTTTTTATTAAATTTAATTAATAAGTTTTTAAAATTGGAACACTATTTATTTATTTATTTTTTATTTTTTTTGAGACAGGGTCTCGCTTTGTTGCCCACGCTAGAGTGCAGTGGTGTAATCACTGCTCACTGCAGCCTCCACCTCCCAGGCTCAAGCAACCCTTCCACTTCAGCCTCCTGAGTAGCTGCGACTACAGGCATATGCCACTACACCTAGCTGATTTTTTGTATTTTTTGTAGAGATGGGTTTCACTGTGTTGCCCAGATTGGTCTCAAACTCAAGCAGTCCTCCAGCCTTGGCCTCCCAAAGTGCTGAGACTACAACCACTGTGCCTGGCCTTTTTATTTCTTTTATAAGTATGTAATGTATTGCCTCCTAATTGACAGGGTGAAAAATAATGTCTTAACACTACCCTTTAACCTCATGTTGATAATACTATAGCCTAGGATTTGGCATCCTAATAAAAGTAGCATGTTAATGTTTTTGCCAGGAGTTGGGGTGATGACTCAGGAAAGTGTCAGGAAGCAGTTATTGGAGAAGGTGGATCAAGCATGTTATTCAGCAAATATATGTGCACCTCCTACAGACTAGGCGGTGTTCTGTGTTCTTGGGAAATAACAGTGAACAAAGCAAAGATCCCTTCACTACCTCATGGAGTTTATATTCTGCTGGGAGAGAAAGAATGAGTAATGTATGAGTAAATTATACCATGTTGCCTATTATATGGGTTTTTAGCATATTAATTCATCAAGATAATGTGGACCTAGAATGCTAGGAGTAGGGGAAAGGAGGGAGTACAGTTCGCAGTATTATTTACTGTTTTTTAATGATTATATTGTGGTTTCTCTGCTGTTGGTTTGGAAATGATAATTGTAAATCAGTGGTGGCCATTCATACTGACTTCCTAAGTTTAAATATGTTATCTGAAACCTTGGGGATGAGCCAAAACTTAAGTGGTTTATATTTTTAAATGACATGAGGTATACAATACATATGAGCAGTTGCTGATTTATAAAGATAGAATTAAAATATTAAAATAGTAATTTTATGTATGGATAGTTTATAATCAGTATATGAGAAATTGCTTATCTTTTTAAGTCAGTTGCTGAATTTTTTTTCTGGTTCTTGCTTTTACTAATTATAACACCCTCCATTAACTGTTCTACAAGTTATATATTAACTCAGTTCTTTTGTATAGTGTATTTAGCTGCATAAATTCACGGAGAAGCAACATGGTGGAAAAGGCTGCACCTGGGCTCTGGAGACATACTTGGCTTCACATCAAACTCGGCAGTCCAGTATCCATGTAACCTGGTATAATTTTAGAAACTTTATGCTTGGCCGGTGTGGTGGCTCACGCCTGTAATCCCAGCACTTTGGGAGGCCGACGTGGGCGGAGACCAGCGTGGCCAACATGGTGAAACCCCGTCTGTACTAAAAATACAATTAGTTGGGGGGTGGTGGCTTACGCCTGTAATCCCAGTTACTTGGGAGGCTGAGGCAGGAAAATCACTTGAACCCAGGAGATGGGAGGCTCCAGTGAGCTGAGATGGCACCACTGCACCAGCCTGGGTGACAGAGAAAGACTCCGTCTCAGGAAAAAGGAAAAAAAAAAAAACTTTATGCAGTCACTCAGAACCTTGTTTCCTCATTTGTGAAAGAAGGCTAATATCTACCTGCTGTGGTAATGTGAGAGATAAAAATTGTTTGTGTGTACAGCCTGGCCCGCCTGGCGTGTTGTAGAGGTGTAATATATGAGAAGCTCCTGTTACTGTTTTATTTTTATTCTGTAACATTAACAATTAGAAAATTCCAAAAATTCAAAAGTACATTACTACCTCTAGAAAATCAAATATATTGGCTGGGCGCAGTGGCTCACACCTTTAATCCCAGCACTTTGGGAGGCCAATGCAGGTGGATCATGAGGTCAAGAGATCGAGACCATCCTGGCCAACATGGTGAAACCCTATGTCTATTAAAAATACAAAATTAGCTGGGCGTGGTGGCGCGCGCCTGTAGTCCCAGCTGCTTGGGAGGCTGAGGCAGAATTGCTTGAACCTGGGAGGTGGAGGTTGCAGTGAGCCAAAGGTTAAAATGAGCCAAGATTATGTCACTGCACTCCAGCCTGGCGACAGAGCAAGACTCTGTCTCAAAACAAACAAACAAACAAAAAAGTCAAATATATTTGACATATTAAGGATTTTTTAAACTTTGAGGGATAAAGTTAAAGGCTCATCCCTATAACATCCCACTGATTCCTTCCTTTACACTGTGATCTCATGATCTAGCCACTGTCTATCAGTGATAGAGTATTGATTAAAATGGCTTTTAGGGATGTGTCTCTTCAGAGGACTTGTTCTCAGTATTTGAAGTTGGATCACTCAGAGTTGAGCTGTGTTGTCACTAGAGCTAGAGTTTTTATCTGGGAGCAATAGTTAGGCTTTGGAGGGAATGGGGGATTTCTATGAGCAGGAGGAGCGTCGAGGGGAAAGGGCTGTTGCTGGGGAGTTTTGATTTATGTAGAAAATGGTGTTTTCCGGCCGGGTGCGGTAGCTCACACCTGTAATCCCACCACTTTGGGAGGCCGAGGTGGGTGGATCACAAGGTCAGGAGTTCAAGACCAGCCTGGCCAATATGGTGAAAGCCTGTCTCTACTAAAAATACAAAAATTAGCCAGGTGTGGTGGCAAGCACCTGTAATCCCATCTACTCAGGAGGCTGAGGCAGGAGAATTGCTTGAACCTGGGAGGTGGAGGTTGCAGTGAGCCGAGATCACACCACTGCACTCCAGCCTGGGTGACAGAGCGAGACTCCATCTCAAAAAAAAAAAAGAAAAGAAAATGCTGTTTTCCATTACAGTTGAGTTTTTTGCACGTTTTCTTTTTGCCAAATGCAGCTAGGGAGATAATAAGATAGAAAAAGCAACTTCGATAATACATTTTAAAATTCACTTTAATGGATTTTATCTTAGTGTAGACTGAGACTGAATCATTTGTCTTTAAGAGTGACTTTGGACAGCGTGATTATATATCCTATTGGCCTCATTTTGTATTTGAGGAGACAGGGCCAGTAGGGTTCACTGACTTGCCCAAGAACAGAGTACGTTTTAGAGTCCGGGTCTTCTGAATCCTGTTTGTGTCCTCCTTTACCATTAGATTCAGCTTGTTATAGATGGCCCATGGGGAAGTGGATCAGTGTTGGCATATGTCTCATATGTCTTAAATGCCAGGAGTCCATTATGTGATTGTAACATGGAATCCTTTTGGTTAAATCATGGCACTGTTTTTATTCACACTCTAATCCCTGGTTAATCTCTTCTTAGCTGTGCTTTAATGAGATTTTATTATACTTAAAAATCTTAACATGTATTAGCTATTTAATAAATGATACATACTATTCTGAATAATTAGTTTTTGTTTTTATTCGAGCAGTTTGAAAAGAAACTGCCACTTGTAAGTACGTGGGGCGTTGCTTTCATTTCAGTTCCCTGAGGTCTGTATGTCAGTAGAACTGAGTTAATGTAGGCATAATCATTGCATTATAGGGCCCTGACTTTGAAGAGGCAAGGGAGTCCTTTAATGAGGAGCCTGTGTACGTTGAAGTCTGAAATTATTTTACTAAACCCTTTGTTTTGTAAATCTCAAACTTGTACATAGTGTATTGAAAGTAATGGTTTTAAAAATTTTTGTCACAGTCTTTGTCTTGAGATAATTTTACATTGAAATTTGGAATGTGGAATAGATGAGAAGCTGCTATGACATACCCCACTGGCCCATCAAGCTTGAGGAGTGTCATGGAGCGTAATTTAAAAATATTGTTCTAAGTTACTACAGATTGTTCTTGTTTTTGTTGTTCTTGATTTTGTGTTGATCCTTGTAGATTGAGAACCTCGTAGCTTGGCCTTTTTATATTTGTATATCCTGTGATTAGATGGTCACGTAGATCTGTTGGGAGTTGCGACAGAATGATAATTTATTGTTCCAGTTCATGCCAACTCAATGGGATCTACTAGTAGAACTTTCAGTTTATCTTTTCTTTCTAAATTCCCAAACCATTTACATTTGTCATGTGCTTACATATGAGCCAAAACTTTGGTTTCTAATTACATTCAGTGTAAATATTAGAGTGCTTATTCAACTCATTTAAATAAAAATTGATTGCAATTTTATTTCTCATTAGTTTTTTTGCCATTCCTTGTGTTTTATTTTGTTCTGCCTGAACACAGAGGCTATAGAACAAAGCAAGAGTAAGACTTCGCAAAATAGGTGAATATTTCACTTGCTATGACTATGTTTTGATTCGTTGTATAGAATGTAAACTCTTTCATATATATATATATATGAGTCTAGTTTCAATGTACATGAAAAAAGTATGTAAGGAAATCGTGTAGTATTATCTTTTGGATAAAGATGGTTTTTTTATTATCCTCTCCTTTTGGTTTTGAAAGAATAGTAGAAAATGTCAGTACAGTTTCTTTGCGCTTAGGACAAGAGGGGAAATTAGTAAATGTGAGAAATTAATCACAGAGAGATTTTTAAAAAGGTCTTATACAAATATGCTTTCAGATAATATTTCTGTCTATATATCTGTAGATAGATAAATGGGTAGGCAGGGATAATTAGGAGTATACAACTGATAGATCAGTGGTTTAGGCTTCAGATTATAACTGACATTACTTGGCTAACATTACTATAGTGTGTTGGGCTTTAATTCTTTTTACTGAGTATCTCTGAGGATATCTGATTTGAGACTTGGAGTATTCAAATTAGCTGTCTAATTTTGTAGCAGTCTCCATGGACTGACTTATGTAAGCCTAGGAATTCTGCGGGTGGCCACATGGCTCTTGTTAGGAGTTGGACAAGGCCTGACAGTCTTGTATATGATGAGTGCTGACCATAGAGAGCACCTGTAGAGTCTGCATCACTCCAGCATGCTGTCAGTAGGTCAGGAAAAGCGAGCATGATCATAGGGCATTTTGTTCATTGCACTTTGGTTTTACCTGAGATGTGCAGCTGGCACAGTGGGTGTAGTTTCACTCTCTACTTATTTCTTAGTTACAGCTATCTATGATAGAGGATGGAAAGCTAAGGTTGGGATTTTATTTTAGGTATTAAGTATCTGTACTTCTTTTGGCAGGGGAAGCAAGTGGGTTGATACACATAATACCACAGAACAAAGATTTATAGTTAGGCAATTGAGACCAACTATTAAAGGAAGAAAAGGGCCAGGCAAGGGGGCTCACACTTGTAATCCCAGCACTTTGGGAGGCGGAGGCGGGTGGATCACGAGGTCAGGAGATCGAGACCATCCTGGCTAACAAGGTGAAACCCCGTCTCTACTAAAAAAATACAAAAAATTAGCTGGGCCTGGTGGCAGGTGTCTGTAGTCCCACTACTCGGGAGGCTGAGGCAGGAGAATGGCGTGAAGCCAAGATCGTGCTACTGCACTCCAGCCTGGGCGACAGAGTGAGACTCCATCTCAAAAAAGGGAAGAAAAGTTGGTTTGAGGAAGAATAAAGTAAAAAATAGTCTAATTTTAGGATTTTGATTCTGATATTTGAATGTAACCTGAAATTTTGAATGTGTTTGAATGTATTTTGAAGGTAACCTAAATTTTGATAAAACATTTAGCCTGCTAATAAATTCATTGGGTACATGTCTTGTGACTAGTATAGTATGTTCTTTACTATCATAATTTAGTAGTTATAGCATTTGATATAGTTTAAGGTACTTTAGGTAGAATTTTTAAATATATATTGACATAATTATATAAAGGACATACTCTGTATCGTATATAGTTCCATTTTTAGAATCTGTTAGTATGTTTTCCTGTATTCCAAGTTGTTGACTCAGTTATTTTTAATTAGTATTCTGTAAGCCAATTCAGTCATTTCTTAAATGATTATTATTTTTTAAAAAGTTTTGTGAGGCACCATTTAAGAAAATGAAAATATCAAGTCTTAGATTTATGAGACAATAAGAAATATATTTTTATCATGTTATTTATCAGTCTTTTTCTAAATAACTAAGTGATGATTCCTTGGTATATATTTTAGGTTTAAAATCCAGAGGTTGTTTTGAAATATTTTCTAATTTGTTAAAGGAGCTTGTTTTGAAATTTGGATGATAGCCTAAGTATATTGATTGGTTGTTTTTAAATTTGAAGTTAAATGATAATTTTAAAGGTAGAGTAGCCATATATAACTCAGTTTATTAGCAAGAAAATATCAGTTTAAGATACTGCAGTCAAATTAGTTTTAGTTCTGAAGTACACAAGAAAGCAGACATTTGGGAGCTTCGGTTACAGTGCTAGTACCACCTAGCATTGTAATACTGGTGTTCCCTGGATTTGAGTGGTGATGTGTGATATGCTGTGAGGATGTACATGGTAGTTTTGGCCCCTGTAGAGTTCATATCTTCAAATGGCCTTGGCTCTTACCATTCCTGTATACATAAAAATAGTATAAATTATTACTCTTGAAGTTGAGATTCTTTAGTTTGTCCTATATTTTTATTAAGTTTCTGACATGAATTTGGAAATTTAGAATCCTTATTCAGTTTACTTATCCTGGAAAACCTTAATATGTGAGATGAGATTTTGATGAAGTCTTAAATATTCTGTCTTAACTGTTGACAGGGTGGTAAATATAAAGTCATGAGGATTAAAATATTGACTAGTTCAGCTCTGTGCTTGCAGTTTTTCCCCACTCTAAGATCATATTGTATTGGGACCACTAAAACTGAGCAAGAAGGAATAAACTAGGAAAACAGATGATGGCCAGTTGTTGGTGAAATACTGTATCTTTGAAGACATTGATTTTTTTTTTCATGAAGCTCATTGTCACCAAGTATGGAACTCTAAATTGATGTTGCTTTTTGTTTCAGCATCAAAGCTGGACGACTCCTCTCCTACATTCCATATCAGCTGTACACCAAGCAGTCCAGTGTGCAGAAGGGTCTCAGCTTTAATCCTGTATGCAGACCTGAGGATCCTGTGCCAGGTCCAAGCAATATAGCCAAACAGTTCAACAACAGGGTGTAAGTTTGTCTAGTTGGGGATTACTGCAAAGCTGGGTTTTTTTTTTGGTTTTGTTTTGTTTTGTTTTGTTTTAAGACGGAGTTTCGCTCTTGTTGCCCAGGCTGGAGTGCAATGGTACAATCTAGGCTCATTACCACCTCTGCCTCCAAGGTTCAAGTGATTATCCTGCCTCAGCCTCCCCCATTACTGGCGTGTACCACCACACCTAGCTAATTTTTGTATTTTTAGTAGAAGTGGAGTTTCACCGTCTTGGCCAGGCTGGTCTCAAACTCCTAACCTTGTGATCTACCCTCCTCGACCTCCCAAAGTGCTGAGGTTACAGGCATGAGCCACCATGCCTGGCCGCAAAGCTGGTTTTTATCAGTGAGCATGGCCCCTGCTCTGTTACAGACAGAAGCAGATACGAACCCTGGCTATTCATTTATAATGAATATGTTGAAATATATGTGTATGAGTGTCTTATCTAAAAATGAATTATTTTTATGAAAATTTCATTCATGTAAGTAAGATTTTACATTCATACTAGTTTCTCACCTTAAGCTAGTGGATCTTAATTGTTAGTTTTTTCGTGGATTTTCATGAAAGTAATTATTTCCTCACAAGTATTTTGTATTGCTTTCTCAAAAACTGAACTAACTGCACCAGCTATATTTTTGTTGTGTTCCATGCATAAAAAGACAATGAAAATGTTAACACTTCTGGGTGATTTTTGAAAAATTCAAAATTCATAACTACAATTCTAAATATGTAAATATATAAGTGGAAGTTTAGTTGGTGACCCTTGGTTATAGAATTGAGAGTGAATCTAGACTTTATTCCGTGTGGCTGCTTTTTTTTTTTTTTAATATTGATAAAAGCTTTAGTTGCAACCCTGGATAAATTGGTTTCACAATTAATTGGTGGGTTGCCTTACCTTGTATATCAAGTGGTTCATTTTTGTTAGCCTTCTCTTTATTAAATTGCTTGCTTTGGGAGTTGGATATATTTTTTTTTTCCGAAAAGACCAGGAGTCTTAATTAATCTGAGAGGATCCAGTATCACTGCCTTCTGTAATTTTTGTTGTCATTTGTTATTTAACTTGTACTCACAAATGTATTCAAATATTTTTCATGTTACCTATAGCTTTTAATTTTTCTAATGTGGTATCAAGGTATATAGCAAATAATACCAGAAAACCTTTTCACAGAATACATAGCTTTATCTTTCTCTTCTTACCCACATTAATAAAAGTAGAAAATAGATATGTTTTTTCAAGATCTTCTTTGTGACACTTTTAGGAAGAAATTACCTATTAGATTTTACTTCTTAATACGTTTATGCCATTGCCTAAGAAATGTAGCTCTACCCATGATATTTCCAGTACAGCTACTTTGCAAATGTCCATTTGTCTAGGCTGAGAAACTATATAGTACAGGAAGAATGTATGTTAACAGTGTATTTTCCTGCCAGTATATGGATTTCTGTTGGATGTGTTGCTATAATGCATGTAAAGGATCTTAATGTTTTTGACACAAAACTAGATGTAAGACTTTCTGACGTACATCACTTTTGTTGTTTTCTGGGGTTTTTTGGAGGGTATATTCAGTACATTTTGTACATTTCTTTGAAATGCTCATCTGTGACATTTTGCTCCCTTGCATTCTCTTTATCTCAAGAGGCTTTCTCTGCATGTGACAAATTAGGTTTTCTTTTTTTCTTCTTTTAATCATATCCAGTTTGTCTTTTTCCCCTTCACTGGCATGATCATCTGTGAGGATGGCGTCTACTCAGAGTTGCCTGTCACATTCCATGTGATGTTTAGCCAGGGTCTGAGCTAACCCTGAAATGGGTGATCATCCAGCTTGTGGAGATTTTCTGTGTAGTCAGGCTCTCATTACTGAGAAACCAAGTTGGTATTAGGATGAGGGACTTTTGGTGGAACCTGGTAATACTGTGGTAATTTCACCTGTGGCTTACTACTCTGTAGGGTAGCCCTACATCTGGAGCCTGCACTATAATTGAATTAGTGCTATGGACATTTGGACATTTCTAAGTAGAATGAATTACTGCTTTGTAATTCAGGTTTTTGTTTTTGTTACTTAGATGATTGTTGTGAATGCATTTCTAAACAAACGTCTAGAGGAGCCAGGATGTGACTTTAGCATAACATATGTCATAGGTTCTACATTTATAAAGCTGTCATCAGGAAACTTGGTCCATGTTGCCTTGTACCACCCTGGCATCTAAATGTGCATTTCTTAAAATGAAGTGCAGTTTCCCTTGTTAATAAGGCAAGTGTCCTCATTTTTCTGGGTGTAAATTTTACTGAATTACCCCCACACATTGACATGGCTTTACTTTTTGTCTACTTGTGCAACAATTAGCTCATTAATAGGTTAATCAATATAGTCACTTTTTTTCCTACTGAAACTAGCTGGCTTCATACTGGATTTAATGTGTCGAATAGTACCTTCCATAGAAACTAAAACTAGGAATAAGAATTCAAGTAAGGTTTTAAAATCCATTTTTGTGAAAGTTATTTGTAGTATATTAATTCAGCAGATATTTATTGACCATGTAGTAAATGCCAAGCACTGTGCTTCAGAACTGGATATTTAGAGCTTATAGATTCCAGTGAATTCTTTATGGAAAAAATAATTGAAAAGTTTTTTGGGTTTTTCTTCAGCCATGAGAAATACTCTATTTTATTTCTTCTTTGGTACTATCTGAAGTGAAAATAAAAAACAAACAAAAAACACCTAAAGGGCTGTTAATATTCTAGAATTTTTCTAGTTACCTTGCTACTTTTGCAAAGAATGATCTTTTGTCAAATCAGAATATAAAGTTTGTGGTTTAATTTTCAGGGTTTTTTTTCATTGTCAATATTCGATATAAGAATTTCCTGGCTGGGCAAGGTGGCTCAAGCCTGTAATCCCAGCACTTTGGGAGGTCGAGGCAGGCGGATCACAAGGTCAGGAGATCGAGACCATTCTGGCTAACACGGTGAAACCCCGTCTCTACTAAAAATACAGAAAGAAATTAGCCCAGCATGGTGGCAGCGCCTGTAGTCTCAGCTACTCCGGAGGCTGAGGCAGGAGAATGGCGTGAACCTGGGAAGCCGTGCTTGCAGCGAATTGAGATTGTGCCACTGCACTCCAGCCTGGGCAACAGAGTGAGACCCCGTCTCAAAAAAAAAAAGTTTCCTGTTTCTAAAGAGAGAAATACCAAAGTGTGTACCACTAAGAAAATGTTGAAATGAAAAAATTGTTTTAACCTAAAAGTCAGACAGTATTAACTTAAATTTTTTTTCCTGCTTTAGAAATCACATCGTTAAGAAGATTGAAGCAGAAAATGAAGTCAAAGTCAATGGCATGAACAGTTGGAATGAAGAAGACGAAAATAATGATTTTAGTTTTGTGGATCTGGAACAGACCTCTCCGGGAAGGAAACAGAATGGAATTCCTCATCCCAGAGGCAGCACTGCCATTTTTAATGGACACACTTCTAGCTCTAATGGTGCCTTAAAGACACAGGATTGCTTGGTGCCCATGGTCAACAGTGTTGCCAGCAGGCTTTCTCCAGCCTCTTCCCAGGAGGAGGATAAGGCTGAGAAGAGCAGCACTGATTTCAGAGACTGCACTCTGCAGCAGTTGCAGCAAAGCACCAGAAACACAGATGCTTTGCGGAATCCACACAGAACTAATTCTTTCTCATTATCACCTTTGCACAGTAACACTAAAATTAATGGTGCTCACCACTCCACTGTTCAGGGGCCTTCAAGCACAAAAAGCACTTCTTCAGTATCTACTCTTAGCAAGGCAGCACCTTCAGTGCCATCCAAACCTTCAGACTGCAATTTTATTTCAAACTTCTATTCTCATTCAAGACTGCATCACATATCAATGTGGAAGTGTGAATTGACTGAGTTTGTCAATACCCTACAAAGACAAAGTAATGGTATCTTTCCAGGAAGGGAAAAGTTAAAAAAAATGAAAACAGGCAGGTCTGCACTTGTTGTAACTGACACAGGTAGATACTTACTAAAATTGTTTTCTTAAGAAACAGTCACGCTTGATCATTTTGCTCTTATGCTATTATTGGTATTTCTGGTCAATATGAAGTTTTCATAATATAAAAGTCTCAGAATGTCAAGTCATGTAATCTGCAGTAAGCATAACATTATAGAAAGCTTATTTATTAAAATGTTTTTAAAACAATTAGATTTAATTGTGGCTGACTGAAAATTTTCAGAGAATTTAAACAGTAAGATGGTTGGGATTCTGAGCATTCATTCCTCATGTAGACCTTATCGGTTGGTGAAGTTTTGAACTGTGTTAATGTAACATTTATCCAGTGCTTAAACCCCTGTAAGAATGCAATTGGTTTGATAAGAGGAATTGTTAAATTTCTAGAAGCTTGCATCATAATGATTTTTTAAATCAGTTTTGACATAGAGCTGTTATAATTAACAGTGGTAAACTTTCAGTGAGGTTACTTGACATCTAAGTGCATTGGTTCATTGTATTTTGAATTTTAATACTTTTCTTGTTACCAAAAACAAATGCAAACACAGTAGCAGACTGTGTTTCTGTGCCAGTCATAAATTAGTATCTGGTTTGAAATTTTAGTTCCTTTTACAGATTATAGGATTTTTTTATGGGGAGAGACCTCAGAGATTAATACTATCCTTCAATTTATAGCTGTGGAAACTGAGGTATAGAGAGAAGCTCCTGGTTCTGTCCTAGAAAGTGATAGAGACTCTATGGGGTGTTTTCTGTTATGTTTTACTGAGTCTGATGTATTCCTACGTACTTTTAGTCAAAAAATGCTGTTTGGTATTTAGGAAATATTTCAGAATAATATAGATACTAGATTATCCTTACATCATGTCTTGGTCTTGTTACCTGAAGGTTATTTAATTCTGAATGCTTCAGAGAACTATGATTAATTAGTTCTATGAATGGGAATAAAATGAGAAATTTTGTTATTGTGTGAAAGCATTTGGTAGATATTTGGCTTACGCATTCTGTACTACTTGAATGTTTAAAAGCATTATTTTGAGTTGCTTGCATTATGTTTATGTGATACTTTGAAAAATACTTCTATACAGCAGAATTGTGATTATTTTATGAATCATTTGAGATAATATAGAGGGCAGTAAGGAAGTACGTGGCTTTGGAGTTAGATAGTTTAGCATGAATCTGAATCCTTACTCTGCCACTCTTATGCTGCAGGACTATGGACAAGTTAGTTCACCTCTCTGAGTCTTAGTTTTCTTTGTGAAGAGAAGTGATAGATAGTCCACGATGTTTGCCTCATGGGGTTGTGAGCTTAAGAATACATGAGCAGGCTGGGCACGGTGGCTCATGCCTGTAATTCCCACACTTGGGGAGGCTGAGGCAGGAGGATTGCTTGAGCCCAGGAGTTCAAGACCAACCTGGGCAACACAGTGAGACCCTGTCTCTATCAAAAAGAAAAAAAAAATTAGCTGGGCGTGGTGGCACGGGCCTGTGGTCCCAGCTACTTGGAAGGCTGAGGCGGGAGGATTGTTTGAGCCCTGGAGGTTGAGGCTGCAGATTCCACCACTGCACTTCAGATGGGGCAACACAGTGAGACCCTATCTCAAAAAAAAAAAAAAGTGGGGAGAACTAGGTACATGCTATCTATCGCAGGCACAGTTTGGTAAATGGAGTGGTCCAAAACTGCTAGGGGATATCTGTTTTTGGAAGCCTATTATAAAGACTAACCCTCAGTACTAATATTTTCAAGCCTGAGAAAAACTCCTTTATGAGATCAGAACTTTTTACAAGCTCAGGGTTCTTATTTCCAGAACTTGTGTATCTTAGAGGACCAGAGGAAAAGGCTAAGGATGAGACTGATAATAGAGGAAAGCTCTGCTTGTGCCTGGATTAGGGTTAAAGTGACCCTGATGAATCTCATTGTAGCTCAGGATGATTAGAAGCTTTTGTCCTTAGGTGAGGACACTCACCTTTATCTCCTTAAATGTGGTCTATGTCATTCAGCTCTGATCTTTAATAGTATTTAATGGCATAAGGGTAAAAATTTACAGATTTATGTTTTATAGACTGTTTTTCAAGTACTTAGAACAGCAACATGGTAGTTTTAAGGCTCAGAAATCAGACTGCTTGGGACAGAATCACAGCTCAACCACTTAATAATAGGCTGTGTGACTTAAACTTTTAGTCTACAGAATGGAGATGATATGGTTACCTACCTCATAGTTGTGAGAATTTAAATAAATACATACATGTAAACCTCTTAACAGCAGTGCCTGACACCTACCAAGCACTGGATAATAGTAGCCATTTTTATTGTTGTTATTTTATCCAGGCGTGTTTATAGATTGCATGGAATAATGATCATCAAGATAAGTTTTACTTAGCTTCATGTAACTAAATGTATGCCAACAGCTTTGTATTTTTATAAAATAATCAGCACAATGAAATAATTTTAAGCTGTACTTTTTGACAAACTAATTAGAGACTTAATTAAATTGGGCTTCTCTTGAGGTGATAGCAATAATCTGTAGTCATTTCTGGTTTTTTAAAAAGACTCCATTCTGGGTGAAGCATGTTTTAAATATAGTTTGTAAAATTAACTAGACCTGATGTTTTAAATAATAAAAATTAGCTTGGGGTTTGAATGCTGTCTTTTTCCTTCTAGGAGATATGTCAGTATTGAATTCTCCCAGACATCAGAGCTGTATAATGCATGTTGATATGGATTGCTTCTTTGTGTCAGTGGGTATACGAAATAGACCAGATCTCAAAGGTCTGTATTCTTGCTTATGTTTTAAGAAAATTGATATATTGTTGTAAATACATACTCAAAGAGTTTACAAAATCTTTTTTTAAAAAATTGTGATTTTTCTTGGGAAAATCAGTTTTTCCAAATTTTCTGTATTCAATTATCAAGGAAGGTATAGGGGAATTAGAGTTTTTCTTTCTCCCTGTAGAGATCTTCAGGGAACAATATTCATCTTCACCTGAAGGATATGTCATCGAAGACTAATGTAGGCAGGATCTATATTGGGCATTTTCTAGATTTGTATCTGTATTCCTTGTTAATGAATGGAAACTTTATGGTGGCTCTTGTCTGTGAGACTTGGGTCATTATGCTTTCTCTTTTGAGCAAATAACTTGATTAACTGTCTTGATGCCCATGAACATCCCAGCGTTTTGATTGTAGGATAATTTTGCATTATTGAATATTGCTAAAATATGTGAAGTCGTGTGGACAGTCTTTGTCTTAGTGAAATTGCAGATATTTGTGAACTAGTTAGTACTTTGAAAAGCATACATTCTGGGTTTTCCAGTGTTTGCCTCTGTCTGAAAGAGACAACTTAGTGTTTTCTTCCCTTAAATAAGGAATCACTGTGGCACAGAAGCTGCTGTGTTAAAACCAGGACTTTATTTTTGTCATGGGTAGTGGTTCCTCAGCTCTGAAAGGAGTTATTAGAATGTTAAATAATTGATTTTCATAGAGTAACTTTTTAATGCATTGTTGATTTTATTTATTGGTCCTCAAAATAATGCATTCAGTAAATACATATTTATCCATGCTGTTGCTTTACAAAGTTCGAGTCATCTTGTAACTTAACACACATACAAAAGGAAATGATACAGGAAAGTAAGTTTATACTAAAGCAAAAATTGAGGGGCTGTATGCTCATGTTTGATAATGTGGTAGGTCAGATTGTGATTCCGATGTGTATGTATTTAGTTTCTGTTGCTGTAAAATTGAGAGAGAAGTATAGATGTTAACTCTAGAAATACAAAAAAAGTATACTTAGTTTTTCTTTCCCCACCACTTAATGTCTGAATTTAGAGTCTTGAGTTGCCTGTTTTCTACAATACGAAATCAAACAAAAACCCTGGAAGGCTGAGTTGACTACTGCTTTCAGGCTGAAAAAATGTATCAGAATGGTCATAAATAATTGGCTTTTTTGGAGGTGCTGAGAAACTTAGATGACATTTACATGGTGATTGATAGTCTTTAAAGTATTAGCTTCTTTAAGGATTAATGTCATAAGTAAAGGTAAAGAAAAAAAAAGGCATGTTTTAAAAATCATTTGAAAAATGTTTGCTTACATGTTAACATTCCTATACCCATATGCAGAAATAATTTAATATTTTCCTCACAGGCAAACCAGTGGCTGTTACAAGTAACAGAGGCACAGGAAGGGCACCTTTACGTCCTGGCGCTAACCCCCAGCTGGAGTGGCAGTATTACCAGAATAAAATCCTGAAAGGCAAAGCAGGTACACATGAGCTGTCTCTGAAGTCTTAGTGCTCCTGTGGGCGGCTTCTGGATTTTGCTGTTGGCATGGTTGTTATAGAAATGAGAGCAGAGTTGTAGCAATTAGCTTTTTCATTCAGGGCTTTTAAGGATTTCAACTGTTAGGTTGTATTGAATTGGAGGGTGACATTTTCCTGAAATAGAGAGTGAAGAATGTTTTACAAGATATGATTGATTTGCGTTGTATAAATTTAGATTGGGGATAAAAATCATGGGCATAATTTAAAGAAGCCTCTGTCTATTGTGAGAGTTAATTACTGGTCATTTGGTTATTGCATCACAGTAAGAATGTTAAAGTTTGTGTTGCTCAAGATATTTGTATGAGGAAGTAGGATAACAAACAGTAGAACTTTTAATTTATTGGAATTAAAAGTGAACACCAGTAATCATTCTCCATATCCTTTAGTGAACCTATTTGTTATGAGATATAACCTTGTTGCCTCTCTTGACTTTTTAATTTTGGATATTATTAAGCAAAATTATAAGTTGTACTAGTCATGATACTTATTAAGATTTTCATGTGTCTATTACTTTCTTCCCCTGAGTAAATTCGCTGAGAAATGTTTTCTTAGAAATTAAATTTTTTAAATAATTGATTCGTTTTCTCATGGTGGTTTTGCAAAGCCAAAGAGAATTTTTTTAATTAGTTTCTCAGAAATATATTCCCCAGAAAGTAGTCAGAAGTTAGATATGCAGTGAAATGGAAAGCATGCAGTTTAGTTTCACTGCAGTTACTTCAGTGCCCTTGTTGTCAGTTATAAAACGTTGGGCTTACTTGTCACAATGACTCCAATGAAATTAAGGCAAAAGGAAAGCCAGCGAACATCTCTGAGGACCGGTTTTGGGATTATAGTCTTTTTGTTGGTTTTGATCATCTGTTTATGTGGTCTTAAGTATGAAAGAACATAATTGTAGATACATGTTTACGCTTTGTGTGTACATTTATTTCCAAGTTTTATAAATGTTTTCTTGGTCTTTAAATCTTTGCAGAGATTTTTGAGATTCTAGAGTTTTGTGTGTCATGAGTAGGTGTGGAGTAGCTGTTACTGAACTTGACATTTAGTTGTATTATGGTATAGGTAGTTTTAAGTATTGGTAGTATGGTTTTTGTGGTAGGTTGGTTTTTCTTTTTGTATTTTCTATGTGCTATTAAACAGGTGAAATCTTAAGTTCTAGAAAATAAGAAATAAATAGCTTAAGGAAGTACACAATACTTGTCATATATTAGGCGTTTATGAAATACTAAAGAATGTTGAAAGAAGAGAAACCACCATGTATATACGTGCAGTAGCATCTTCAGTGCTCAGAGTCTCTCTGGTGGGTGGTCTTGCTACACACGTCCTTCTGTCGGCAGTCTACATTTAAAATTTTCACCTTGACAAGCTCACATTCCTTAGGAGTAGCAGAGAGCTAGTTCTCTTTTGTCTTTTCTTCTGTTACAGACAATCTTACTATAAATGGTTTATTAACACAATACTGTCATTGGTTACTTAATTGTCTTCATCAGTTTAGTCACCTAATTTTTACAACATTTTAATGACCTTCTATAATCACATCCCCTTCACATCTAAATGTGGGTGGTAAACCAGAAGGGAAGTATTAGGAGAAATAGTTAAATTTCACTTGCCATTGAAAACTGTCAAAAGGAGATTGTCCCGTCACTAGAAAAGGTGATATGACAGTTTGTATTTTATACTCTTACTTTAACTTGATGCCATTTACTTTTATATGCTAAGCCTTTTCATGCATTAGGAGCTCACCAGATTATTTGCTACATATAAAACGAATAGATTATTATAAAATTTGATTACAACTAAGCTTGTGCTCAGAACTTTTTTCAATGCTTTTGTTCCTCTTTGCTTGTTATTCCCTGATCTTTCTTTCTCTGGGTCATTATCAGACATGGCACCAAATAGAAAAATATTGAGGATCAGTTTAGGAATTAGAATCTTTGGCTTCTGTGCACTAGCTTTGGAAAAAAAAAAAAAAAGATCAGTCTAATGTTTGGCTTATATGTCTAGACAACGTATTAGGACAAATAGCATCCTTAGTCCTTTTTGAAACTTTAGTTTCTTAGTTGTCATATCCAAAAGCTCTTTAATTAGACCAGTGCAACCAGGGTATCTCATCCATCCATGACTTCTTTTGGAGGCTGCTTCCTGAGCAATACTCAGTAGTGGCACTTCTCATTGATGATCTCATTGTTTGGAACAATTTATGCTCCAAATTTCATGGTTGGGGCCTTTTACCCCTTCCTGGATTTCCAGGATACAGATGTTTTCTATCCCATCGACAGCTTCAGTTTTCATTCTAAAGAACAACAGTTTTAAAAATCGTATTAGTCATAGATTTATTCTCAGCGATTTCTTTTTCACAGACTTGGGTCCTGGCCTCTGATTTCTCCAACCGTTCCTCCACATTCTCCATGTGCCCGTCTAGTTTGTCAAGTTTTGATGAGCAGTTCTCTACTTTGCCCTCCAGTGAGGACAGTGTGTCCCTGCATTTCCCTGAATCTCACATGAAGCAACTCACTCCGCTCGTGGAGGGACCCACGCATTCTGCTGCACTGTGGAACAGGTCAGCCAGCCCAATGGAGAGGAACACGATGGTGCTGCCTCTCAGGCCAGGGCATTGGGGGCGCATGGACCACAGAGACTGTTCTCTCCTCAAGCATAAGTTTTCTGTTATTTTCAAGACAGTGTCTTAGATAACTAGCCCTTCAGATATCAAAGTCAGGTAATTCTCCAACTTGTAAGGCATAACTCATGGTTACACCATGGTTACAAGACGGTTGTGGCTGTTCAAGCTTCAGCACTCCTTTTTTTGGGGTCTAGTAGCACCCTCTGTTGAAGAGTGATACTGACAGTCCTGAAATTCTTACAGTTTTTCAGCTTAGATGAATGGACTATTAAAATTTATATTTAGCCTTTTAAAACCGTCCAGAAACACTGGGTAGTCTGCTTGGGATTCTGTCTTTAATTTGTAATAGTATAGCTAGCATATGTTACTCATATGTCAGAAACTATAGCTCACATTACACACTCAGCTGTTTTGAAGCAAGTAGGATTTGACCCCACTGAGATGCCAATCAGTTTGATTTGCATTTATGCTGTGTATATATGGTTGCTGAAATCCAGAAATGCTTGTATGGGTTGCATAGTTAGTTGAAAGATGTTGATGATTACTAGTCAAACCAGGAAGAGTTGTTTAAGCCCATGAAGCCAGAGACTTCGCCAGTTTTCCTGGTGGTGCATTAACTTGGCCGACTTTTCACAGAACAGTAAGTCTGAAATAAACAGAAGAGAAATGCTGGGTTTGTTAGTTATGTATTGTTACAGTGTACTCACAATAGATTTGTCTGGAATAGCTGAAGTGATATATTTTGGCTTTGTTTTACTAATGGTATTTTTGTTTATAATAGTAGAGATGTGGCTGAGATTGTGGTTTTAGAATGTGGTTTTTTTTTTTGTTTTTTTTTTTTTTAAACAGCATACTCTTCTTGGAACCTAATAGTAGTATCCCAAGAGACCTACGATGAAGTTGTGTTTTAATTTATTTCTTAATTACTAGTGAAGCTAAAGGTGGCAAAGGAAGTAAAGTGGCATGCAGCCAGTAGGCTCTCCAGAGTGTGTGCTTTTGTATTCTTGTGTAAAGTTGTACGTTTGGTTCAGATGTTAAGACATGTTGGTAAGCCACACTGAGCTCCAGCTGTGTTTTCTAAAGCATCGATACTCTGATCACACTTGAATGTTTTTAATTGAACATGCATTATTAAACCAAAATACAATTACCTGTAGCAGGGGATAATGTGACGTCTGTTCAAAAGAAAAAGCTTGAATTTAGAATGAAACCTCTTCATGGTTTGTGACCTACTAAATTATTGTTTGATCAGATAGATGGTAGGAATTTCATGTTTGTTGTACACGTTAATTAGCTTTAAGTTTTGCAGATCTTTTAGGAAACAGCAATGAATATTCAGAGAAATTTATATTTTTCATTAACTTTTCCCCATTACCGAGAGCTGTACAGTCCTTGTAAGGTTATAGGAGGGAGTTCATCTCCCTGATCACTTCTCATCCATGTCCACCTCAAGGGACTGTGTTATAGGATATTCTATATTTATCTTCTGGTGTATTTAAAAAAAAACAACTCCCAGGACACTTTGAATTTATTATAAGTTTTTATCTGCTGATGAAGAATATAATGGAAGCAAACCATTTTAGAGTTACAGAGTTTTCTTTTATTAGATAAGGAGATAATGCCAATAGAGATAACTGTATTTGGAATTTACTAAACATTTTTATATGAAAGTAATGGAAAACAAATTTCTTGAAAAAGTTACGGAAAATCAGTTTATAACAAATAACCATTAATTTTTTTTAAATTTTTAAAGCAGATATACCAGATTCATCTCTGTGGGAGAATCCAGATTCTGCACAAGCAAATGGAATTGATTCTGTTTTGTCAAAGGCTGAAATTGCATCTTGTAGTTATGAGGCCAGGTATGTAGAAGTTATGTGTTATAATTCTTAATGAACAATTTGGTTAATTATTTTTATATAGTTTTTTGAACTGTAATCTTTTGAAGTGGATTCAGACCTGCCAGTCAGGCCAGTGATTTAAACGTTACAGACGTGTTATGGAAATAAATGGTTTTAGCCTTAAATCATTTCATTTATGCCCCCCACACCCCTCACCAGTGCTAGATAACTTTAAACAAACAGCTTAGTAGTTCCCTGATGAGAACCAATAGGTCCTGTAGTAGGAACCAAAAGACATTGGGGATTGTCATTTTTATTGTCTTTTGAAGCATGAAATAAAAGAATTAGATTGTTTTTGAATGGAAGAGGACTTTAATATTTATTTACTCTAATCTTTTGTTTTTATTGCTAAGAAAAATCTCTTGTAATCCATTCTTCCTGATACTCAGTTTTTTTTTAATGTTAAAACCCAATTGCCTATTCAATTGTAAGTAATTTAATTATTAACATTCTTAATATCTCTTCACTTAAAAGTGGTAATAGTGTTGTCAGCTTGTTAGCACCAACTTTTTGAATAGGTGTTTATGTTATAGTGATCTGAAACCATAATTATAATTGGCTGTTTCAGTATAGGAAGAAACACACACACACATATATATATTCCTCATAATTTAAAAAATCTTTTTGAAATAATTGGAATAGTTGTAAAAGTAGAGGGAGTAATAATTAAAGAGAAGTCTTAATTTTTTTTTTCCCTGTCAACCAAACACAGACATTTTTACCTGTATAACACAGCAAGCCGTTACACATAGCTGGCAAGTGTTAAAGTATTCAGTAATTTCAAAACGAAACAGTCTTAGATCAGTTACTTTTTTTTTTTTTTTTTTTTTTTTTTTTTGAGACAAGTCTCGCTCTGTCGCCCAGGCTGGAGTGCAGTGGCACCATCTCAGCTCATTGCAAGCTCTGCCTCCTGGGTTCACGCCATTCCCCTGCCTCAGCCTCCCTAGTAGCTGGGACTACAGGTGCCCGCCACCACGCCCAGCTAATTTTTTTGTATTTTTTTAGTAGAGACGGGGTTTCACCTCGTTAGCCAGGATGGTCTCGATCTCCTGGCCTAGTGATCCACCCGCCTCAGCCTCCCAAAGTGCTGGGATTACAGGCGTGAGTCACCACGCCCGGCCCAGTTACATCTTCTTAATCTTGATTCAAAGTTGTGGCTATTCAAGCATCTAATCTGAAGAAAAGATATTTGAGCTCAGCATCGTCTAATCATAATAGTTTTTTTTTTAATTTGCTAATTTTTTTTTAAAGTATATTTAAGTAAAAGCATTAAGTTTAAACATGCATGCTTATATTTTAAATTGTTTTCCATTCATGACATGCCAAACTTTTCCTCCCAGGCTAACTTTGCCTTTCTCATTGACAGAATTATGTTTTAATGGTTTTCATTGTCACTTGATGCTGTGGCCAAGGAATTGAAACTCACTTTAAATGATAATTAAATACAAATACGTTTTGAACTGTTATACTGCTTTTTATTAGCACAGGCACTCTAGAGCTGAGTTTATGTAGTCTCTTTTTTCCTACTAAGTTATTGAATGGTGGCCTGGACTTCAGATGGCTAGACAGTTACGTGCAGTATGTGGAGGGTGTGATGAAGCCCAGAAATATTCTCAGTCCTTGAATTTCGCTAGTTGGTAAAATGCAAGCTCCGTTTACCCTTGCTAGACTGCCTCTGCAGGGTCTCCCTTTATACCTTCATACCCAGTCCCCACCAAGATGAATGCTGGCTGGGAAGCAGGACTGCCTCCAGGTGAAAGTGTCAACAGCTCTGGTGGCTTTGGACTCCAGGAGCCACAATTGTGTCTAGGCACTAGGCTTCTCTTGGGTCTTTGGATGGTGCATTTGTATTTATCCACGGATGGTGACTGTCAAGCTTCATGCCTTGCAAAATAATTGGGGTGACAATATATGAGGACAGAATACTATATAGTGAGCCATTCAAGTGCCACTTAAGTGCAGATGTTTAAGAAGATGCATAAAGTGATGAAAATGAATTTAACTTGAAGAAAAAAAGTGCAACCATGAGTTTTTTGTCCCTTAATTGTAATTTTCTGTTTTCTAGAAGACTATTCCTAGTGAAAGTTTCTAGAAAATAGTTTCTGGATACTTGTTTTGTGGCCATCCAACAGGTTATATTTTCCTTTTCTGAGGAAAATTTTTTTAACAGGTACAAGTAGTTGCATAAGACAAATGTTTCTGAGTTTGGAGTGGGGGCTAGATTGTGGGGATGATCTGCTCAGTTTTATGCACTCGTGAGTTTTCACTATACATAGCCTAATAACGGGGCCAGCAAAGGATAGAATGTGAATATGAAATGGTAGAAATACAAGGTAGAATGTGTATATGTGGGTCACAGTTTGCACTGCTGTTAGTAGTTGGCCTATACTTACAGTAGAGAGCAAACTTTGTATGGAATAAATGAGAAGAAGGCAGATTGTACATGAATAGGTAATGATACACAGGTATCCTAGAATCATAGATTTTTAAAGTCAAATAATTTCTAAACCCCGTTTTCACGTGCTTTTGTAAGGACCCCTACCTTTCTTACTTTATGGATGTATTTTAGTATGTAGAATGGACAGCGACAGTGGTTTGATGGCAATTTTTTTTTTCCTCCTGGAGACGAAGTCTTGCTCTGTTGCCCAGGCTGGAGTGCAGTGGTCCTTTCTTGGCTCACTGCAACCCCTGCTTCCCGGGTTGAAGCAATTCTCCTGCCTCAGCCTCCCGAGTAGCTGGGATTACAGGCTCCCGCCACCACGCCTAGCTAATTTTTGTATTTTTAGTAGAGGTGGGGTTTCACCATCTTGGCCAGGGTGGTCTTGAACTCCTGACCTCGTGATCCGCTCGCCTTGGCCTCCCAAAGTGCTGGGATTAACAGGCGTGAGCCACCGCACCCGGCCAGCAAGTTTTTAATATTGTTGAATCCAACACCAAATACAGCTGTCTGAACAAAGCATATTGCCAGACAGAATATGTCCTCTGTGCTTTGAACGTGGGAATAAGCTGTTTTTGCAGCATACACTTAACGAAGTTTTGGTAATTTGTCCTGCATGGGATTTTAGTTGTAATAGATGAGTCATGGTAATGAAGAGTCACTTTGGACTTTCTTATAATTGTCTTTACTCATTTATTTTCTATGGAACAAACCTCATTTCCCAGCCATCTTCAAGGTATTTGGCTTCCCTTAGTATGGCAAACCTAAGGCAAGCCAAAGGAAAAAGGTTTTCCTTTTTTGTTTTTAACTTCCTTATAGTGTCTAATGGCTTTTAAACAGTTTTCTCTGGGTACATTTTACATGAGTACCTAAGTAGATGTACCATACTTTACTAAGTAATGTGCCTCGGAAAATTTTTGCATAAATAAATGTTTTGAAAATGAAAATATTGTAAATATAAGAACATGATCTTTACAGGGATTATAAACACATTTCTTTTTCTTTCTTTCTTTTTTTTTTTTTTTGAGACAGTTTCACTCTTGTTGCCCAGGCTGAGGTACAGTGGCACAATCTTGGCTCACTGCAACCTCCACCTCCCAGGTTCAAGCAATTCTCCTGCCTCAGCCTCCTGAGTAGCTGGGATTACAGGTGCGCGCCACCACGCCCAGCTAGTTTTTTTTGTATTTTTAGTAGAAACAGGGTTTCACCATGTTGGCCAGGCTGGTCTCAAACTCCTGACCTCAGGTATCCATCCACCTTGGCCTCCCAAAGTGCTGGGATTACAGGCGTGTGCCATCACGCCTGGACTATAAACATATTTGGTTTTTTTTTTTGAGATGGAGTTTTGCTCTTGTTGCCCAGGCTGGAGTGCAATGGCATGATCTCGGCTCACCGCAACCTCCACCTCCCAGGTTCAAGCGATTCTCCTGCCTCAGCCTCCCGAGTAGCTGGGATTACAGGCATGCGCCACCACTCCTGGCTAATTTTTAATTTTTATTAGAGATGGGGTTTCTCCATGTTGATCAGGGTGTTCTCGAACTCCCCACCTCAGGTGATCTGCCCACCTCAGCCTCCCAAAGTGCTGGGATTACAGGCGTGAGCCACCGTGCCCGGACTTATAAACACATTTTTAAAAAATGAGTTATCTTTAATTTGTAAACTCAGCTTTTACATGTTGAATCTATATATCTGGCATAATTATTACCTGAAGTTTACCCTTTTCAACACTAGACCTTTTTTCTGCTTTGTTTCTGATAATGTTTCTAAACTATTTTATGTTTCTCTATATATGTCTAAACTGTTAGGTATTTACTTTCCTGCATTAGTGGACAAAGCTTGTTGGCCACAGGCCATCTTTTCTAGGCGAGTGCGGGCTTGTCCCCATGGACATCATGGAGTTTGCTTTATTTGCCATCCTGTACCCAGCACCTCGCTGAGTCCTCGACACATTAACAATTGTTCTCTTGACGACTCTGTCATTTACCTTCCACTTAGGTATTTCTTATCTACTAGGGCCTTAGCACTGAGGCCATTTATAATATTACTATTTTTAGAAACATAAAAAGTGCATGTGATTTTGCATCTACCGCTGAGTCTCTTGGAGGACTCTTCCTTCTTGGCTCTCAGAGTCTGAATGTTGGGAGGGTGCCAGAGGCCTGTGAGTAATTGGCGATTGTTTGTATATATGTTTCTTAAAACGGGGAACGTCTTCATGCTGTGTAGTTAGTAAATATTTATTGAACAGATACATCAAATGACCATTATCGTATTACATAATAATATGTAATTTAGTGAAACATTGCTTTATTATTTTGCTTATTTTTACTCTAATTTTTTTCTTGATTCTTTACAGAGTGATAAAATAGAATTTTACTAATTATATATAGTTCCATAATTATAGTTTTGTGGTGAATGCTCCAAATATCAAAGGTAATGTGGGGCATTGAGACACACAGATTTAAAATTTACCATTTTCAATTAGGTCCCTCAAAGTTCTGGAACCCTGGCTCCTGCCCAGAGTGATGTCCTACCATGTACAATGCTGTTGGCATCTCAACCACTGTGGAGCCACTTCAGGAGCATGGAATTGGTCAATTGGGAATTGGGTGGTAATAGGATGAGTACATTTTGTCTGTTTGTCACATAGCACTGTTTTGTGTAGTTCTTTTGTTTATATTCTTTGTCTTTGGGGGATGAACCCTGGCCAAACTGTGCCATGTATTAGGGGAAGAAAACCTCTTTTTGACAGCATATTCCTGCTCTGTGGTGGTTGTGATATCACCAGCATATGGCATGCTGGCATCTCTGCAAAGGGGCCAGAGGTATGAGTTTTATGAGAAAGCTTCAGATACAGACAAGAGCCAAACCTGGTCTTTTAATGACATGGTTGGCACATCTACATGTGTCATGTTTGCACTGTTGAGACAGTTGTGACTTTATTTGGGGGGGAAACAAGCCTGTAAATTTTAATGCCTATCTTTAACCCCTGTTGAGAATGGAGTTCAGTGGAAATTATAAATTAGTGGCATGGGGAGATACCAACATATTTGATAAATATTTGAGTTTAAAAATTCCTAGAATAACTCCATTTGTGTTGTGTTCTCTCTCTAGGCAACTTGGCATTAAGAACGGAATGTTTTTTGGGCATGCTAAACAACTATGTCCCAATCTTCAAGCTGTCCCATACGATTTTCATGCATATAAGGAAGTCGCACGAACACTGTATGAAACATTGGCAAGGTACAGTGTATCAAACTGTCATTTTGTGTTTGTTTTCCTTCTCTTAGCTAATAGTAAAGATAGTTCAAGTTTTCTTTAGGATTGTTGGGATCGCTTTTGTTAGACTTTTCTCTCTCAGGAACCGCTCCTCAGCATCCCAGGCTGAGACCTTCTTTCTTTGGGCAGTTTCCAGGTAGCTCAATCTCAAAGGATAGTTTTGTATTGCCACAATTGTTCATGTGCTTCCTTGGTTGATGTAAGATCTGATCATTCACTTATGTTACTTCTAGTCTGTGGTTCTGGTTTTCTTCCCATGGAGCCAAATAGATGAAGGATGGAATTTTTTAACCTGGTTATCCTCTTTTATTTCATTTTAATTATGGTTTTGTTCAAACTTAGAACTGATGGGTTGATAACAAGTGGAGACACTTTAAACCCTTTATCTTCTTAAAAATCATTGGATATGCCAAGAGTTAGTTTTCATAAAAGTGGGTCTTTATTAATAGTTTCAAAATAGTTGATGAGTTGGCTTGAGAAAAGGTGATTAATGCTAAAAATATTTAAAATCGTAGATGTATTTAAAAATATTTTAAAATGTAGATGTATTTTATATTAAGTCAGAACTGAAATTTGTTAAAAGTATAAGCAGCCTGTGTATGCTGTGAACCAGGGGTCAGCGTGGTTTTCTGATTATATTAAGTCAGAACTGAAATTTGTTAAAAGTATAACCAGCCTGTGTATGCTGTGAACCAGGGGTCAGCGTGGTTTTCTGATTATATTAAGTCAGAACTGAAATTTGTTAAAAGTATAAGCAGCCTGTGTATGCTGTGAACCAGGGGTCAGCGTGGTTTTCTGAAGGGAGCCAGGTAAAGTTTCTGTCACTCAACAGAAGTACTCCCTTCTGCGTTGTGAATGGAAAGCAGCCATGGGAAATGTATATGAATGGGCTTTGTGTAGTTCCAGTAAAAATGCATTTACTGGATGTTAGGCCAAGGTTTGTCAACTCCTGGGCAGTATTAATGTTCTAAGAGATAGACTTCTTGCCTCTGTCTTCACCTCTGCCTCTTCCTTTTTATGCGTTAATTTGAACACCAGTACTGCTAAGTACAGGTGACTGCTAGATGCTGCTAGTCTCAGAAAGGAATATCTAATCCTTGCCCTTGTGGGAGCTTGCTTTAGTAGGAGACAGAGAATGTAAAGGAACTGATTATTACCTGGCATCAGTATATAGGAGGGAGTGCTGAATGTTAAGCCACTTATTATAGCTATCCTATTAACACAAAGAGAACACACTAATTAACTTTCCAGGTATGAGTTGGGTAACTAAATAAATAAATCCCAAATACAGGAATGTTGGTATTGTCAAGTGGAATGTGCTTTAAATCCTCTTTGAAAGGTGAAGTCAGTGGTAGCATCCAAATGAGGGCTAGATAGGGATGGGTGACTGAGGTGAGCACTGTGCTGCTCCTGTGTCCCGCGTGTTGAAGCCCTAGGGCAAACCATCAGCCTGTGCCTGAGGTTAGCAGGACGTGAGAGAGCTGTGACCATACTCCTACACAGTCACATGCACATGGTCCTGGTAGAAGGCTGGAGACAGTTTCAGTGGCATGTTTCTGTTCTCAGGGGAAAAATATCCAGTGTTGTTATTCTGCCACCCTTGGGAAGTCCTGTCTCAGCTTCATATTCTCCCTGTCTCAGGGCAACTTTCACTCTGAAGCAAAATACCTCATACCAGTCATACCCTTCTGTTCTTAAAAATGTCACAGTTTAAGCCTAAACAAAACATACCTATTTCTTTAATATAGGGAGATTATTTCTTAATAGTGATATTAATCTGATTGTAATCTGCCTATAGTAAGGTGTAGGTGAGAGATGAGAATTGCCTTCCTAGTGTACATTACCGAGTGGATTATGAAAGACATAGTTTTGATCCTTAGGCCTCTTAGGTTTCCTCCCATTTTCGGTCCGGTTCTATTTTGTGGTTTCTTAGTCCTTATATTCCTCTGGGGGCCGCATAGGAGCTCTTGTCTTCCTTTTTCTTTTCTCTAATTACAACAGATCCTTTTTGTGGATAGATCCTGTGAGATGATTTTTTAAAATGTATTTCCAGATGCAGAGAGTGTAGATGCTATTCTCAGACAAGCAGTTGGGATGACTGGCCACTTTTTCCTTCTGTATTCTAGGCCTGACACAGTGAATGGAATTTAACTGATATTTTTGTTTTAGGAGAGCAGGAATTACTTATTTGACTGATTTGTCTCATTTTTCTGTTCCTTAAAGGAGTCTCATAAACCATTAGATTAAATGTTTTGACAGTTCAAATTCACCCACCAGTTTTCAACTTTTCAAAGGTTTATAGAAGTATTGTCAGTATAGAGAAACTGAAATAATAATTTATGCTGTATTTTTGTTTTTTTGTGTTTAAATTTTTTTGTGTTGGTTATTTTACTCCTCAAACGTTTTCGTATCCTATATGCTGTATTTTGGTAGTTAATAAGGAGAAAGAGAACACACTAATTAACTTTGTAGTTAAAAGTTGGGTGACTAAAATGGTACTTCAGCCAATTCATTTAAAATGCTTTGTGAGGAAATAGAAAAAAGATAGAGTAAGAAGCCTTTATTTTGCAACATTGGGTCTACCAGATGGTGGCTGTGGCTGTGATTCGTTGCCTTTGCTCTGTGTTGATAGCTACACTCATAACATTGAAGCTGTCAGCTGTGATGAAGCACTGGTGGACATCACCGAAATCCTTGCAGAGACCAAACTTACTCCTGATGAATTTGCAAATGCTGTTCGTATGGAAATCAAAGACCAGACGAAGTGTGCTGCCTCTGTTGGAATTGGTTAGTATCTAGCTTATCTTGTACTCAAAAGAGTTGCTTTAAGATTCTTGAATTTCAGTTAATTTTAAGGAGTTTTTGTTTTTATTAGCTTCCTCTCACTTGTAAGTTTTTAACATTGCTTGCAATTGTGTGATACACAAGATAAGTGTTGGAAATATAAGTAAGTGGTTGATAATCTTCACAATAAATAAGTTGGAATATTTCTTACTTGTTCTTAAAAGATTGGAAAGGTTTAATTCAACATTTGTAAACAATTTTTTTCCCCCCAAAAGTGAACGGAAGTTGTATTTAAAGCTAGGTGGTGGTATGGGTTTAGAGTTACATGTTAAGTCTGAGTCTTGTTACTCTCTGCACCTTAGCCTCCCGGCACATGGAGCTGTTCCTGTCTTCACTCAGTTCTAGAAGTCACCCTGACTCCAAGTGCTCTCAGTAACTATTCAGTCTCTTCTCCATCTGCCTCCGTGCCCTCTTGAAGCCTTGCATTTTGTTTCCACAGCTACTCCCAATACTTACCCTGCTTTTGTTGATTCTTCCAGCCGTGTCCTCTGGAACTCTCTCTTTCATACTTAAGCTTCCCCGAGTCACCTCTTCCTTTCTTAACCCACTCATTACCTTCTGTCAAGATACCCCTTTTCTTGCCATTCTGTTACTAGAGCCAGTTGGTCGCTGCCATACTCAGTATACCACAGGCTTGGAAGGTAAAGTTAACTTTGTCTTGGCTTGCCATTGTTACTTTCAACTATCATTCCTCCATCTTCATCCAAAAACTCTTCTTCCTCCAAAGTTCCCTGTCTCCTTTGTACCCATGAAATTTACTGATGATGAGTGGTGATGCAGAGAGGCTAATGCCATTGAAAGAAGAATTTGTTACTTCTGTTTCCCGAGAGGAGGGGGCATACCATGCTACACAGGACTACCGGGGAAGCACCAGGGTGGTTAGGAGACAGAAGCAGGAGGAGTGGTGGAACGAAAGCCTAGGCTCCAGAGCCTTTGTTAGCGTTTTTTTGTTTGTTTGTTTGTTTTCAGAAAGGCAAAGCAGGGCTGAGGAAACACTTTAGGAGTGGCTAGTTGGAGTAATTCTGGTGGGCTGTGGGCCATAGGGTGGTCCCTAGTTGCCTGGTAGCTGGCCCTGGGACAGTTTGGGGCAGGAGGTGGTTAGGTTAGGTGACAAGTGTGCTTCCACGTAAGAGGCTTACTGTCTTTAGGAATGAGCCAGCCCTGGGAGGGCAGTCTCTCCTCAGCCAGCAGGATTGTAAAGATTTCAAAACACCACAAGATACAGAAAATAAAAAGTATGATTAATACATTCCCAGCATTCCTACAGCCACTGGCTAGCTTACCTTTTACCCCCTGATGTTGACCCACAGACGTTGGTAACATTTCAGTTAGGAATTCTGTATTCCATTGTCAGGCACAGTTTTATTTTTTTGTTTTTAATTGTCCTTAATTTTCATTGATAAGTGATCATATGAATCCATTCTTTTAAGTTCAAGCATATGTAATGCCAAAGTCCCACTTTATATTCCCACTCCTCAGTTCCTTTCCCTCCCCTGAACTCACTACTTGTATCATTTTGGTGTGACTTTCCAGAACTTGCCCTCTTCGTGAATCTCTGTATTTACTTTAGGAAAGTGCATAGTTTTTACATAAGTCTTCTGTAAAACCAGCATATGTCCTCAATATTGGTCTTCTCTGTGTCTGGAGATTTTAGTATTCACAGAGAAGCCCACCTAGCGGCCGAGCTCTGCAGGTCCCTGCCCCTTCCTCAGGGCTTGGTGCCCTTTTCCTCCACCTCTTCTGTGGCCCCTGCCCACACTCACACCGTGAACCTCACTGCCTGTCTCTGCGTTGAAGAGTCTTCTACCCTCAGTTCCTGCTGGTTCTTTGGGCTTTCTGGTTTCCCCAGTCCAGTAGCACTCTTGTATTCTCGTTTCCCTACAAGTCCTGGCTCCTGTGGTTGGGAACATGAACTACTCTTTGATCGTGGCCTTCACTTCCTACAAACACCCACTGTTAAGGTCAGGACTGCTCACGCCTGTAATCCCAGCATTTGGGAGGCGGAGGCGGGTGGATCACGAGGTCAGGAGATCGAGACTATCCTGGCTAACACGGTGAAACCCCGTCTCTACTAAAAATATTAAAAAATTAGCCGGGCGAGGTGGTGGGCGCCTGTAGTCCCAGCTGCTTGGGAGGCTGAGGCAGGAGAATGGCGTGAGCCCAGGAGGCGGAGCTTACAGTGAGCCGAGATCGCGCCACTGCACTCCAGCCTGGGTGACAAAGAGAGACTCCGTCTCAAAAACAAAAACAAAAAAAAAATAAGATCAGGATTGCTTTCTCCATTCCTGCTTCTGGGTAGTTGCTGAAATGGCACTCGTGTTAGAGCAAAGAGAAACCTCTGTCCAGGTTATGATCTAAAATACTTAGCAAAATTCTACACCTTATTTAAAATAATCAAAATTTATTTTCATTGTTTTTAGAAACTTGATAGATAACCTGTATGAAGAGATCTTTGTTGGGAAATTTAAGGAATAATTGTGACTATTTCTTAGATGACTTTTTTTTTTTTTTTTTTAAACAGGTTCTAATATTCTCCTGGCTAGAATGGCAACTAGAAAAGCAAAACCAGATGGGCAGTACCACCTAAAACCAGAAGAAGTAGATGATTTTATCAGAGGTCAGCTAGTTACTAATCTACCAGGTAAATACAAATACTTTAACAATACTTTTATTACAGGCATCATAAATCCTTTTCATGTCTATAATATAGAACTATGAGACCTCTTTTTGCCTAGACATGAATATTATAAAAATTTTTAAGTCTTACTGAGTGCCATGAAAAACAAAATTTGGAATTCTGCATTGAATATCCCCTCAAATGATTTGTCAGGACCCTAATGTTACATTTTTGTTTTGCTTATAATGGGTTTTTACTTTAGGTATTTCTCAAGTAGCAAGATTCTAAGAAACAGTGTTAAAAGGGTGGATGATGAAATTGACTTTGAGTCCTTTAAATAAACAATTATTGAAATAGTTTACTCCTGGGCCAAAGATAAAAGTTTTGAGCATTGATTCTCCTATTTCATGCTGCAGGACTAGCAACATTTTTCTGAGTTTATTAAACAAGTAGTTTAGAAGTAAAGTAGCATGTATGTGAGCTGTATTAGGAAAAAGGAAACCTAAAGAAGGATTGTGTTTTCAGTTGACTCACTCATGGAAGAAAACCTTCCATCTTAACCTTTCTCACCTAAGGGGCAGGATGTTGAATTATTTCATATTTTTGTGTAGTTACCTATTTATTATAAAGTGCCTATGTCAGCTTTGTAAAGTCTTCATCTTCATTTATAGTGAAAGTTTTAAAATTCATTTGTTAAAAGTAGATTTAGTGGCATTTTTAGATGCCTATTTTTAAGCCTAATAAAAATGTGCGAACTAACTTAGAAGTTTCTGTTAACAGGCTATAAACATTAAATGACAGAAATGGGATTTTATGGTAGGTTAGTTTTAAAGCTTCCTGACCCCCTTAGTATATAACTTAAAATGATGTATTAGTGTCAGAAATGTGTAATATGACATTTTTGATGGTTAGTTTTACATTTAATTTGAGAATACTTTATAAAATCAAACTAGCAAATTATCTTAGTAGACAGCACAGTTTGAACAGTTTTAATAAGAAATCTTACTGCAGTTTTCTGTAAGAAGGAACTGGTATATTTAAAGCTGCATGTAAATTTTGAGTTTTAAGTTTATTACACTAGCCATCTCTATTAGTTTTCTAGGGGTGCCATAACAGAGTACCACAGACTGGGGGGCATAAACTACAGAAATGCGTTGTCTCACAGCTCTGGAGACTGGAAGTTCAAGATCAAGGTGTCAGCAGGGTTGGCTCCTTCTGAGGCCTCTCCTTGGCTTGTAGGTGACCCCCCTCTCCCTGTGTCTTTACATGGCCTTCCCCATATGCATGTCTCCGTCGTGATCTCTTCTTTTGAGGATACCGGTCATGTTGGATTAGGCGCATCCATATGACCTTGTTTTATCTTAATTACCCCTTTAAAGATTCTGTGTCCAAATACAGTCACACTGTGGCTGGGCGCGGTGGCTCACACCTGTAATTCCAGCACTGTGGGAGGCCGAGGCGGGTGGATCACTTGAGGCCAGGAGCTCAAGACCAGCCTGGCCAACATGGTGAAACCCTGTCTCTACTAAAAATACAAAAAAATTAGCCAGGGGTAGGTGGCACTTGCCTGTAGTCCCAGCTACTCGGGAGGCTGAGGCACAAGAGTCGCTTGAGCCGGAGAGGCAGAGGTTGCAGTGAGCCAAGATCGCACCACGGCACTCCAGCACCGGTGACAGAGTGAGACTATGTTGAAAAAACAAAACACAACAAAAGAAAAACAAAAACACAGTCACATGGTAAAGTACTGGGGTTAGGATTTCAGCATATAATTTGGGAGAAGACACAATGTAGTCAAAAACACCATCTTTAAATTGAATACTTTTTGTAGTTTTCTTCGTGGTGGTGGTGGTGGTGTTTTTTAATAGAAATAGGGATGTTTTAGCTACTTGACCTAGTAATCCTACCATTCACCTTCATTTGCTTCATGGCCAGAAAGACTTTATTTCTTAAAGGGCAAGTGTGGAGTTACATGTCCTGGCCAAGCTGAGGCAGAGCCTTGAATTTCCTAAGGGATATTTGAAAGGGCAGCAGAGCTGGCCTTCTCCAGAGCCACGGTCTGCATCGCTCAAGTGGTCCATGTGGTTTTCGTAAAATCCCCAAATCCTTAACCTGACTGTTACAGAGCATTTCAGGTCTGTAAAATATCTGCCTTCTCCATTGTTACTCCTGTCCTGAAGTGTGTTCCACAGATTATAAGCTGTTCCTTTAAAAAGGGGTTTCATACACGAGAGGGAACCTTCAGTGAAAGACCTGAGAATTACTTTAGTAAAGAACCCTGTTTATCTTTGTTAAAGACTAGTAATTTCTCAAAGATATTTGGTGATAAATTTATAGTACCTATTTATATCTTACAGAACATGCTTTGGGGAACTTGGTCCTGTAACCAATAACCAGGAGAAATTCAGTGGTAACTTGCCCTATCTCCAACCTCTTTAGCCCCTTGTACCCATAAATGTTTAGCGACCACACACGTGCTGCGCACAGTAATACACAATTAGAATAGCTACATAAGAAGGAAATACACAATAATAAGTTTTTGCTTTAGGAGACTATGATCTGGTGACCTAATGAAAGAAAGGATGGACCCCAACGACTGTTACAGTTTGAAGAACCGTGTCTGCTTTTTCTTTGGATCTTTGCAGGGCTTTTCACCCTTGCATGCACTCTCGAATGAAGGACCCTCTGCACCTCATTCAGCTTTTGCTGGGTTTGTGCATCCAGCATATGAGTTCCATCTCTGTCCCATTTTCAGAGAACCACCATGATCACGTAGGTGTTCATAAAATCTGCACTAATTCAGTAGCTACTTAGCCAAATGAAGCTAGTACAGTTAGAGTTAAAGTTGAATAAAACTAGCAGTTCAGTTCCCCACTTGCCCTGGCCACAGTTCAGGTGCTCAGTGGTCACATGGAGCAAGGTTCTCCTGGATTGGATAGCAGACGAGAACATTTCCATCATTCCAGAAAGTTCCGTTGAACAGCACTCGTGTAGATGGTGAAAACTTTATTCTTTGACATTTACTCCTCTGTGTCTGTATTGGATAGCCAAGTTCTGGATGCCAAGGAGGGGACATTGTTGGCCACTTTTAACCTAGGGTAATAGTTACCCTTCAAGGACAGACGCCAGGTCTTTGTCCCAGTTGCTTGACCAGGAACCTCCTTCACTCTTTCTTCTCTTCTTTGAGATTTGGTTCTAAAGGAGCGCATTTTCCTTCATCTCTTTCTTAATAGGTGGCTGCACTGTTTGGGCCCGGAGCCCCCCTTACTTTTGTCCATAAAGTTGCCATCTTTCCCTTATAAAAACCTACTTAATTGACGCATTTAGTTAAAACTAGCAGCCTTCTTCGAGGTTTTGGTCCTGGCTCCAAGTTTAATCTTCCCACCCGCACTCAGTAGGAGTTGGAGGTACACCACACCCCTGCCTCCCTCCCCCACCTCCAGTCCAGGCCGTTTCATTCCATCAGATGAGCTTGCATGGAGAAGGGCTGCGCTGCTTTCATAGAGGGACGTCCACTTAGATTAGATTGATGATGGTTAACTTGGTGATGTTTAATAGAGCCTTTCCTTTGCACCTGTAGTGCCTAATAATTTTGTTCTAGTATACTCAGGATACTCTAAAATTTTAAACTATGGGTTTCTCCCCACGCCCATCCACCCCAACACACATGCACACACTGACACAACCCAGGATGATGCTTTTCTCTTGCTGACCTTGCAAGTCCCTGAGAACAGATTGGTTCCCCAGAACTGTAAGGGAAAGATCATGGTCAGATTATGGGAGTGGGAAGTGGGGCAACAATGGGAGGGAAAAAAGAGAGAAAGTCTTCCCTGATGTTGAGAAGTCTTATGACAAAAAAGAAATACAAAAAGGGCAAATAGAAGAAAAAAGCCTTTCCTAAAAGCAAATAGCTGTGCAAAGTGTCTACCTTTGACCAACCAAGTATGTAATTTGTCTATTCCCTTGTGTTTCTCCTCCCCATTTTGAAAAGCACTTAGGTTTCACTTAAAATTTTACCTTTTGGTGAATGGTACTTCTCTGGAGGATTTTTTTTTTTTTTTTTTCAATTATTAACTTGAGGTCTTTGGTATTTACTTGCCTTTTGTTCTGGCTTGGACTTTAAAATGGCACAGATGTGAACCAGCACCCTTAATGCCTTTCATCTCACTTCCATTAAGGAATAAAGTATCTGGGTTTAAACTTGTCGGACCCACATTGATGACTTCCTAACCTTGTGTTCCAGAGGTTTTCCTGGGTGAACTTGGACTAGATGGTGGTTCCTGCTACTGAAGACCACTCAGGAGGGTAGGAGCTAGAATTAACAATAGTAACAATGAACAGAAGTTAGCAGACTTCACTCTGAGGTCTCTTGTCTAAAGACAGGGTCTTGCTCTGTCACCTAGGCTGGAATGGAATGGCAGGTTCATAGCTCACTATAGCCTCGAACTCTTGGGCTCAAGGGATCTTTCTAACTCAGCCTCCCAAGTAACTGGGACTACAAGAGTACACCACCACACCCAGCTAATTCTGTTTTCTATTTTATAGAGCCAGGGTCTCCCTCAGTTGCCCAGGTTGTCCTCAAACTCAGACTGTTAGCCTCAAGAAATCCTCCTGCCTTGGCCTCCCAAAGTATTGGGATTACAGGTGTGAGCCACTGCACCCAGCCTGAGTTCTCTTTGGATAAGTTCCTACAGAAGACCAGAAACACAACGCTGTCTTTTCCTCATTAATGGAAAAGTTTTACTTGATGGTGTGGAACCATTTTAGTAAGCATTATAGTTTCCCTCGGTTACTCCAAACCTCTTTCCCAAATTTGTGTACCTTTAAGCATTTAGGGCAAATTGAAGAAAACCAAGACTCCAACTTAGAGCAACAGAATGAATCAGTATCCTTTGGGTGGGGCTCAAACCTTGCAGAATAGGACATAGGGACTGCTGCCTGCTGACCCAGCTGTAGGAGAGTTAATATCTCTTCAGAGAGATCATCCTTTCGATTAAAAAAAAAGTCTGTCTTCTACCCCACCACGAGTTGGTTTGGTTAGGATCCTTCATCCTCAGGTCAGTGGTACGTATGATAGCATGTAACACTTTTGGACTTGGGCCCATTTTGTGAATTCTTGTTCTGTTTTTCACTGAAAAAATACAGCTTACACACCATGGTGAGATTTGGTGATGCCCGAAATCATAACAGAGTCCCTTACATTTTGTGAGTCGGCTAGTATGTCTGTAAGTCACACTATAGACTTGTTTAAATGACAGTTGATTCCTTAGTTGATTTTGTGAATAAGATAGGTATGTTGATATTATTCACTAATAAAGAAAGGACATTTTTGATAGCTTGAGTTTATACGTATTTTTAAAGTTTCTTGTTCATCTGTGTGTGGAGTCCTAATTGAGAAGTAGAGTCTAGAAATACACCTACTAGCATGATTTTGCACCAAGAAATTCTTCAACCTGTGGATGCTTCAGTTACGTCACCTAAAGACTTTAAAGATTATTTTAAATTAGTTGTTTTGTGCATAAATGGTGGGTATTTTGTGTTAATAAACTTGTTATTAGTAGCTTAGTCTGCATACTTAAAGAACTATATATATTCCTTTTCCTAGGAGTTGGATGTTCAATGGAATCTAAGTTGGCATCTTTGGGAATTAAAACTTGTGGAGACTTGCAATATATGACCATGGCAAAACTCCAAAAAGAATTTGGTCCCAAAACAGGTCAGATGCTTTATAGGTTCTGCCGTGGCTTGGATGATAGACCAGTTCGAACTGAAAAGGAAAGAAAATCTGTGTCAGCTGAGATCAACTATGGAATAAGGTTTACCCAGGTACTGATCATTGAACAGATTTTACCATCTGTTGTTCCCTCACATTTTTACATAGTCCTACCTCTCCAGCTAAACCATAAGACCCTTGATGCTTGAAATTAAGTCTTAAAACTGTTGTATCCCCAGAGCCTCAAGAAGGCCTTTTAAGGCAGTGTGTGGTAAGGTATAGCCCCAGATAAGGCTGAGACTGAGGAAACTTAGCTCTTGAGGAAATATACTAAAAGATTATGCCTTGGGGGCCAGTTATTAGAGAACTTGGGATTATAATCTAATTTACAGTGAAACAATAACAAAGATGAGAAAAATTGGAAATACTTTTTAAGCTGTAGTTAAATTAAGTTTCAGCAAGCCCCTCCTTATGCAGGCTTTTGGAAAGCTGCAGCACAGATGGCTGAGTGGTTTCCATTTTCCTTCAGATTATGGATTTGGGTATGTCTTGTCTTTCTGAGATGGAGTCTCGCTCTGTTGCCGCTCGTGGAGTGTAATGGCACAGTCTTGGCTCACTGCAACCTCTGTTTCCTGGATTTAAGAGATTCTCCTGCCTCAGCCTCCCAAGTAGCTGGGATTACAGGCACCTGCCACCACGCCTGACTAATTTTTTGTATTTTTAGTAGAGACGGGGTTTTGTCATGTTGGTCAGGCTGGTCTCAAACTCCTGACCTCGTGATCCGCCCGCCTCAGCCTCCCAAAGTGCTGGGATTACAGGCGTGAGCCACTGCACCCGGCTGGATATGTCTGGAATTTGTATGTACGAACAACACCGTATCATAAGGATTTGAAATGTGATGAGTTAATTGCCCTCTCTGCCTACACTGTGGACCTCAGAAGTTTGTTTCCTTAGGCATGGAGATGGATGATGTTTGGGCTATAAGCACAGTGTTGGAACACATTTTATTAGCAGAACTTACTAACATAATTACAAAAAAATTTCAACAAGTCAATGATGGCATAGAAAAGAAAGGGGCCCGACACGGTGGCTTACGCCTGTAATCCCATCACTTTCGGAGGCCGAGGTGGGCCAATCACCTGAGGTCAGGAGTTGGAGACCAGCCTGGCCAGCATGGTGAAACCCCATCTCTACTAAAAAATACAAAAAAGTTAGCTAGCCATGGTGGCAGGCGCCTGTAATCCAGCTACTCGGGAGGCTGAGGCAAGAGAATCGCTTGAACCTGGGAGGCAGAGGTTGCAGTGAGCCAAGATCATGCTATTGCACTCCAGGATGGGGGACAAGAGCAACACTTTGTCTCAAAAAAAAAAAAAAAAAGGAAAGAAAGAAAGGAAAAATATCTTTTAAAAGTACTCATTACATTCACTTTGTTGGGAAGGTGGGTATTTTTATTTAATAGTGAGGGTATACCAAACGGTTTTTGTTGTTGTAGTTTTAGTATTTTGAGACAGAGTCTCCCTCTGTCACCCAGGCTGGAATGCAGTGGCGTGATCTCAGCTCACTGCAACCTCCGTCTCCTGAGTTCAAGCAATTCTCCTACCTCAGCCTCCTGAGTGGCTGGGATTACAGGCGCATGCCACCATGCCCAGCTAATTTTTGCATTTTTAATAGAGACAGGGTTTTACCACGTTGGTCAGGCTGGTCTCAAACTCCTGACCTCAGGTGATCCACCAGCCTCGGCCTCTGAAAGTGCTGGGATTACAGGCGTGAGCCACCGCACCTGGCCACGTTTCTTTTTAATAGATGCTGAGCATGATAATGAGTAACCAACATGTTTAATATTCAGAGTTAAAATACTTGAGAACAATTATTAAGTATATAGGAAAATGGAATGGAAGTTTCTCCATGTTTGTCTTTCCATAGCCAAAAGAGGCAGAAGCTTTTCTTCTGAGTCTTTCAGAAGAAATTCAAAGAAGACTAGAAGCCACTGGCATGAAGGGTAAACGTCTAACTCTCAAAATCATGGTACGAAAGGCCGGGGCTCCTGTAGAAACTGCAAAATTTGGAGGCCATGGAATTTGTGATAACGTTGCCAGGTAAGCTCACCTCAAAAATGATATTGGTAATTATATTTCAGTACAAATTGTGTAAGTAATAGAAAATGAAGAAAACCAAGGAGGAGTTTGAATAAAGACCTGTAAGCCCATGTTATCTGGTATTCTGTAGAAGCAGGCATCAGCCTAAGGCATTCAGCTTAGGTTAATACACTTGGTTTCAGCCAGGCCCACACACAGGAGGTTGGTTTGACAGCATTCCAGACCTTGGCAGCCTTTGCTTGGCATCTTTGGGCTGTTAAGTTTACTGCATGGACAGAAAGAAAGGGCAAGGCTGCAGAACAAAGGGACTGCTGTAATTTTTGGACTTGGTGAAACTTGTTTCCTGAGGGAAATTTCAGTGTAGTTCTTAAAAACAGTGATACAGACCGGGTGTGGTGGCTCATGCCTGTAATCCCAGCACTTTGGGAGGCCAAGGCAGCTGGATTACTTGAGGCCAGGAGTTTGAGACCAGCCTGGCCAACATGGTGAAACTCCATTTCCATTAAAAGTACAAAAATTAGCCGGACCTGGTGGCATTCGGCTGTAGTCCCAGCTACTCAGGAGGCTGGGGCAGGAGGATCGCTTGAACCCAGGAGGCAGAGGTTGCACTGAGCCAAGATTGTGCCAATGCACTCCAGCCTGGGCAACAGAGTGAGATTTTGTCTCAAAAAAAAAACGATACACAAAGGCAGACTAATAGTAGCTAGAAAAATGCTGGTGAAGGAGAGCAATTCCATTTACATAGGTGTATAAATGTAATTGGTAAAAAGATGAGTGAATCACTGTAATGTCTGAAAACTGGTGAAAGCATTTAAAAACCTGGGTTTTTTTATTTTTGTTTCTGTTGAGATGGATTCTGACTCTGTCACCCAGGCCTGAGGGCAGTGGCGCGATCTGATCTCACTGCAACTTCCGCCTCCTGGGTTCAAGCGATCCTCCTGTCTCAGCCTCTTGGGTAGCTGGGATTACGGGGCATGCCACCATGCCCAGCGAATTTTTATATTTTCAGTAGACATAGGGTTTCACTATGTTGGCAAGGCTGATCTTCAACTCCTGACTTCAAATGATCCGCCCACCTCAGCCTTCCATAGTGTTCGGATTACAGGTGTGAGCCAATGTACCTGGACTGAAACCCTCGTTTTTTATGTCAGGGCCAACTACTTAATATTAAACTTCATGTAAGATTTGTGACCAATATGAAGATACGTGGTTTTATGTGTCATTTTATGTTAGACTGTATGTCATCTGTGAAACCAAAGTTTTGAGGCTTTTGACACTTTTGAAAGCTACTCATAAGGAACTATGAAGTACAGTTTCATTGAAGATTAGCTCATGCCAACCATACATGGTGCATTCATGTATATGATGATATTGCTAAGTCATGAGATGACGGCTCTTAAACAGAGAAACTCCCAAGTTACCATGAAAGCAGGAATTACAAATTACAATTAGACAACATGATTTATGAAATACATTTTTTATCAGTTGGTTATCTTGAATTATATTTACTGAAGTGTTACGATATATACATGTATCTCAAATAGTAAATAGTGGTCATTTATTTATTTAAAAACTTATTTATGTAGAGATAGGATCTTGCCCTGTTGCCCAGGCCTGGCCTTGAACAATCCTTTTGCCTTGACCTCCCAACGTTTTGGGATTACAGGTGTAAGCCACTGTGCCCAGTTTTTAGTGGTCATTTCTATAAGCAGATGAAGTAATGCGATTGTCTTCTTAAACATTTCTATGGGAAAATCAGATTCAATTTATAGTATTTTTTTTCTGGGACTATTTCTTGTTTAAAGGCCTGGAACTTCATTTGTTCATTAATCCAAAACACGAAATAACTTTCCTTTGGAAAGAGAACTGGTAGTAATTTGTAATCTGTTACTGAGTGAGTAATTCTGTTTGTAATGGGACACCCTGCTCATGCCAGAGAAGCTCAAACAGCTCTGAAGGAAATGGTGGGTGAGGTCATCACATCTTTGGGACCAAGTAATGCTGATGGATCATTTGGTCCTCTCTCAAGAGTTCTTAAAGATCTAAGAATTGTTTATTGGCTTTACTGTAAACACGAAGGAGAGTCAAGAAACAACATACCGAGAATTCATCTTTCTCTTCTGAATATTTGCTGTACCTCAGCATACATAATCTTGGAACCTAAAACTTCTCTTGGAATCAAGAACATTGTGTTTACCATTCATTTGTGCTTTAGCTGGAAAATATGTATTCATTTGTGCATGTGTTAGCTAAAATATGCCTTTTTCTAAATTTCTCAACTGATTTGTAGTTGACCCAGGTGTCTGTTATCGTTATTACCTTGAAGTTCCAGTGTTCCATAATTTTCCTTTCCCCCTTCTTTGCCAGTGTAACTAATTTGGTATTTCTGGCTTCCTGGAAGGGGGACTGTGGCATTCACTTTTATAATCTTCTTTGTAACTGTTTACAACTTTTCTGTAACTCTTTTAAACCGTTCCATACTACTTTAGTACTAGTGAATACATATGGAATGAAGCTTTTGTTGTATAATTCTATCACTTACAGGACTGTAACTCTTGACCAGGCAACAGATAATGCAAAAATAATTGGAAAGGCGATGCTAAACATGTTTCATACAATGAAACTAAATATATCAGACATGAGAGGGGTAAGTGTATAGTAACATTGTAAATTCTGACTTTCTGTAATTTTTGTGTCATTTGAGGCTTGCTCTCAGAATGGTTATTGCTGGCATATAGGGACTTTATATGTAGGTCTTTAGCTGCTTTGTGATATAAAGAAAAGAGAAAAATTCTTGACTTTCTCCATTTTGATCTTCTTCATTTTAGAATAATTTTCTCAGATTCTTACTGTGCTTTTCCAAGGTATCCCTAATTAACCAGGGGCTAATATACATGTCCTCCCTGTTCTTGTTTCCTAGAAGTAGATATGACTGAGGAGTATGAATACATAAATTTTGTGCCTTTAAGTTCCTTTTTAATCAGAAACATACTCTGCTGTCTGCCATATGATGACCTAGAAGGGAGTGAAACCACAGGCACATCAAGATGCCTTTGAAACAGGCAAGAGGCATCAAAATGTCAAAACCATAGATTTTTTTTGTGGGTTTTTTTTTTTTTTTTTTTTTTTTGAGACGGAGTTTTTGCCCTGTTGCCCAGGCTGGAGTACAGTGACGTGATCTCAGCTCACTGCAACCTCCACCTCCTGGGTTCAAGCAGTTCTCCTTCCTCAGTCTCCCGAGTAGCCGTGGGTACAGGTACCCGCTACCACGCCCTTTTGTATTTTTAGAGACGAAGTTTCACCATGTTGGCCAGGCTGGTCTCAAACTCCTGACCTCAGGTGATCCACCCGCTTCGGCCTCTCAAAGTGCTGGGATTACAGGCATGAGCCACTGTGTCTGGCCCCCATCTCTACTAAAAATACAAAAATTAGCCGGGTGTTGTGGTACATGCGTTATAGTCCCATCTACTCGGGAGGCTGAGGCAGGAGAATCACTTGAACCCAAGAGACAGAGCTTGCATGAGCCAAGATCATGCCATTGCACTCCAGCCTGGGTGACACAATGAGGCTGTGTCTCAAAAGAGGAAAAAAAAAAAAAAGAACCTTTGTAGGTTTAGTTTATTGTGTCCATGTGTAAGTTAAGGGTTGTTCTGGCTTGATTGTGGACTTTGTTGAAGGATTAGTCACTAAGCCGGCCATAATTGTAATTTCTCCCTGAAATACTGTTACAATGGCACTTTATGGAGGGGTCTGTGGTGTGCCTGCTGTTCACCAGTCCCACCAGTATTTTTTGAGAAGTATTTCATTTTAAAAAGATAAAAATAGTTAAGTTTCCAAGTAGCCTGTCCTCTCTTAATTTTTTTTTATCCTAATTTAAAACCTTAGTTGACCAGAACATCAGTGAAATACAGTATTCCACTTGTTTGGATTTTCTGATTTTAAAGACGTTTTGGTATATTTTGGGAGAATTGGATACTCTGAAGTTTGAGATGAATGACCACTCACTAGCTAGTCTAGAAACTGTTTTTGTAATAACTCATATAGAATGCTGTTGTTTGAATACTTTCATTTACCTTTATTCTAGAAACAGGATCTAGGAGGTAGTGAAAAGGATTTGCTGAGGATTTTGCTTAGCTGAATTCATATTTTACTTTAGTTTTCCTGGAAGCATACTCTTTATTCTGGGTTCTAGGTTGGGATTCACGTGAATCAGTTGGTTCCAACTAATCTGAACCCTTCCACATGTCCCAGTCGCCCATCAGTTCAGTCGAGCCACTTTCCTGGTGGGTCATACTCTGTCCGTGATATCTTCCAAGTTCAGAAAGCTAAGAAATCCACAGAAGAGGAGCACAAAGAAGGTTGGTGGTCATCAGTGGGGTTCTCGTTTAGGTGCTGCTTATGTCCTTGGAAAGACGGCAGTTGGTTTTAAACTTGACACAGCTTTATGTGATTTAAAAAAATTATATTCTTCATTATGATGTATCAATAATAAAGTTTTTTTATTTGTAATGGACAGAGGAAATCAGGGATTAAAGGCCCTGCCCGATGATCTGAAGAGGCTATTTTATGTATTTTCTCTTCGTAGTATTTCGGACTGCTGTGGATCTGGAAATATCATCTGCTTCTAGAACTTGCACTTTGCCACCTTTTCCCGCACATCTGCCGACCAGTCCTGATACTAACAAGGCCGAGTCTTCAGGGAAATGGAACGGTCTGCATTCTCCTGTCAGTGTGCAGTCAAGACTTAACCTGAGTATAGAGGTCCCATCACCTTCCCAGGTACATTTTTATAGTCCTAAATATAAGTACATTTTATACTCTTAAATATAAGTACAAAAATATAAGTTTACAAATGAAAATGGCATTTTTATTTCTTCATCCATTTAACCAAGAAAGGGAGAATGGGTCACTTGTTCGGGTAGATCATGATGTTGGATTCTAAATAAGCAATAATTGGGTTGAATGAAAGTGCTTTTGCAAAGATTTGCCACTCTTGCAAGTTGTAAAGCATAGCTGAAAGGCAGTCCTCCTGTGGACTGCCATTGTCTGTGACAGTGGTCATCATGTAGACTTACTGTATTCAGCAAGGCAGCTTTGGTGATTAGTGGTGAAGTAGAGGCCTTATGTCAAAGGGCTTTTGCAGTATTTGCAAACAGGTCTCTGGAGTTTTGGATGGTTTAATTCAGCTTGTGTGGGCTGTACATGTGATATGCTGCTGGCATCCTTTGGTCCTTGAAAGTAAGGTAGCACCTTAAGCTATATTGGGCAAGTTCATTTGTGCCCCCGCTCCCCCTGCATGGAAGGAGGCAGGAGATGTTACATACTGGCTGTAAAACTAGGGGAAGGGGCAATGCTGATATGCTTGTATGGTGACAGATACCCACAATTAGTTACTCCTGGCAGGTAATATTGGCCTACCCAAGTTGACGGGATTGTATGTTTGCAAAGGGCCAGATGTGCATGGACAGATGGAGGGAGGCCCTGGTCAAAGGAACAGTGGCCTCTGTCCTGCAAGTTAGAGAAAATTCAGCTTCTAGAAACCCTTTCTTCCAGTGTGCTGCTCTCAGAGTAGAATTATCTGTATTTTTGGGCAGTCTCTCATCTGAGAGGTGAACTTTTGACTCAGGACTGTTAACCTGTCCAGAATTTTAACATGTGCCTCAGGCCTTCACCCCTCCCCAGGGGTGGGATCTAATTTGAGCTTCACCAAGGTATCCATATCTGTTGGCCCCAATTGCAGGACATTCTGTGAGTATATTTGGACTTACCTGGTCATGTGGTAGTGGCCAGTAGTATATACACTTTTCTCCAGACTACACATACTTCAGGCTTCAATGACAAAAGGCCAAGACATTCCAAAAATGTGCTGATTTAGGGGTGGCTTTCCTAGCCTGATGGTCTGTCTGTACCTTACATTGATTATCCAGTGTTCAAATTGAAATGGAAAGTGGCATGTTAACTCCCAAACACCTCATCTCTGAGCATGCTTTAATAAACTTCAAACTCATATGTTTGGCATTTTATAGCTGGATCAGTCTGTTTTAGAAGCACTTCCACCTGATCTCCGGGAACAAGTAGAGCAAGTCTGTGCTGTCCAGCAAGCAGAGGCACATGGTGACAAAAGGAAAGAACCAGTGAATGGCTGTAACACAGGAATTTTGCCACAACCAGTTGGGACAGTCTTGTTGCAAATACCAGAACCTCAAGAATCGAACAGTGACACAGGAATAAATGTAATAGCCCTTCCAGCATTTTCACAGGTAAGTTAAATATGGGAACCCTCTGCTGTAGTTTCAGTATTCTCACCCCCCTGCTCCAGCTCAGGACCTGTCTCACTTCCCTTTCTCCCGTATCTGACACCACTTCCACTGGGAAGGGGAGGGAGGGAAGAGTGGGCTTGTCTCCATCTCCTGCGTCTGCAGGATGTAGACACTCCGAGCAGCCTCCTGCTGAAGCCAGCAGAGGGAAGAGACGGGGGAGGGCACGATAAGACAGAAGCACATTGATCTGGCGCAAACAGATCAGTGGCCACACTTGAATACAGCAGAGTGGAGATGTGTAATCCTACATGGGGGCAGCAACAACCCGAGCTCCTGTTTTCATGTTTTGCTTCCCATTTTCTACTAGTGCATTTTGCCCAGGTTGTTCTGCTGTTGTAGTGGTTTTTTTTTAAGTTAGTACTCTTAATTCCTTGTTCTTGCTCTAACCATTTTGAAGATTTAATCAGCTTTGATATTACGGAACCGTTAAGAATTCATACAGATCAGAAAAGTAAGATTTGAAAACAAAATCTATTTTGTGAAAAAAGATAAACCAGCTACCATCTAGAAGGGAGTTCAGGTTTGACTTTGACCTTGTCTTTTCCACTAGGTGGACCCTGAGGTATTTGCTGCCCTACCTGCTGAACTTCAAAGGGAGCTGAAAGCAGCATATGATCAAAGACAAAGGCAGGGCGAGAACAGCAGCCACCAGCAGTCAGCCAGCGCATCTGGTGAGCCTTGGAAGTGGCATGTAACAAAAATGAAGATAAAGAGTAATGGAGTCACTGTTGTCTAATTATTGCAGTATATAATGGCCAAAGTCTAAGCTGTTCGTTGCATTAAGAGCTCTTCATATTGGGATAATATCTGAAGTTTACAGTATGAGTAAATATCGTCATATTTTAGTTGGATTTGTGTCTGTACTTTCAGGATTTAAACACACCACTTACTACTTTTTTAAAAAGTTGGGATAGGACATTACCAGAAGTGTCTTGAATACTTGTTCAGCTAGTTGTCCTTTGAGATGAATAAATCAAAGGATGTAGGTTCAAAATGCATCACAAACACCAAACCCACATTTATTACTACCCATCATAGATGAGCAACATGCCAAAGGCCGAATTAGTAAGTGGCAAAGTAAAGAGAGAATTGGAGAGCCTGCACTTTTGGCCATGGCCATTCACTGCCTCTCACTTGGGGCAGGAGGGGAGGTGTAGGCTAGGGAGCCTGTTGTATCCGGGAGGAGAAAAGAGAACCCAACCTACTATCATCCAGACTATCCATACTATCAGTTTGTTGAGGATCTTGTATCTATCTATCTTCTCTTAGTGCCAAAGAATCCTTTACTTCATCTAAAGGCAGCAGTGAAAGAAAAGAAAAGAAACAAGAAAAAAAAAACCATCGGTTCCCCAAAAAGGATTCAGAGTCCTTTGAAAAACAAGCTGCCAAACAGTCCTGCAAAAACTCTGCCAGGGGCCTGTAGCAGTCCCCAGAAGTTAATTGATGGGTTTCTAAAACATGAAGGAACTCCTGCAGAGAAACCCCTGGTAATTCTTTAACTTTGACCTTTATGAGATCTTAATGTACCCGGATAATGTGTGAATATAGCAATTTTATCCTTTGTTTTCTTAACAGGAAGAACTCTCTGCTTCTACTTCAGGTGTGCCAGGCCTTTCTAGTTTGCAGTCTGACCCAGCTGGCTGTGTGAGACCTCCAGCACCCAATCTAGCTGGAGCTGTTGAATTCAATGATGTGAAGACCTTGCTCAGAGAATGGATAACTACAATTTCAGGTTGGCTTGGCCTGTGTTAGATGGCCCAAGGCTGAGATGTAGTCGTCTCATGATTTGAGAACATAAACAGACTAAACTATGTAGATTTAACCCATTTCTCTAACTCTAGTAAGCTTAAAGCAGCTACCCCAGTATCTTTTAAATTCTGGGGCTTGCTTTGACAAGTAACAAAGCCCATTCCTTTGATAGCTGTTAGCGGCGTACTTGTAGAAAGGCAGTTTTCCTTTATCCGTGTAGATTTCTGACTTTCTCCTTCAAAAAGATATACTGGTCCTCATTTGAAGTTTTTCCCCTTCCTAGATCCAATGGAAGAAGACATTCTCCAAGTTGTGAAATATTGTACTGATCTAATAGAAGAAAAAGATTTGGAAAAACTGGATCTAGTTATAAAATACATGAAAAGGTAGTAATTCATCACTTTTATCAAATGGGAAAAAATGGCATGTCACAATGGCTAAGTGAGGGTGTACTGAGAAGTTTTAAACTTTCTAGGAAACTGTCCTCATTAGGGTTAATGAAAAAGTGATATCCATTATTCTGTCATGTTGACTAAGTAGTAAATGAGGTTCCAAGTGTGTCGCCCTCAAGTCTTACATGTGATTAGAAGACCACAGGAAGTGGGCTGGGCGCAGTGGCTCACGCCTGTCATCACAGCACTTAACTTCGGGTGGCTGAGGTGGGTGCGTTGTTTTGAGACCAGCCTGGCCAAAATGGCATAACCCCATCTCTACTAAAAAAATACAAAAAAAAAAAAAAATAACCTGGGGGTGGTTGGTGCCCACCTGTGGTCCCAGTTACTTGGGAGGTAGAGGCTGCAGTGAGCCATGATTGTACCACTGCACTCCAGCCTGACAGCTTGTCTCAAAACAAGCTTTTTTTTTTTAGTGTTCTAGGATTTTATTTTTTGAGATGAAGTCTCACTCTGTCACCCAGGCTGTAGTGCAGTGGTGGCATCTTGGCTTACTGCAGCATCTTGCCTCCTGGGTTCCAGTGATTCTCCTGCCTCAGCCTCTCGGGTAGCTGGGATTATAGGCATGTGCCACTACGCCCAGCTAATTTTTGTATTTTCTATAGAGACAGGGTTTTACCATGTTTGGCCAGGCTAGTCTCCAACTCCCGACCTCAGGTGATCTGCCCACCTCGGCCTCCCAAAGTGCTGGGATTACAGGCATGAGTTGTTTTTTTTTTTGTTTTTTTTTTTTCGCCAAAATCAATTTTTATTTTTAAAAAGGAATAGTCTTAAGGACTTTTCCTGATGGCATTTCTTCTCTCCCCACCTTTAGGTTGATGCAGCAATCGGTGGAATCGGTTTGGAATATGGCGTTCGACTTTATTCTTGACAATGTTCAGGTGGTTTTACAACAAACGTACGGAAGCACATTAAAAGTTACATAAATATTACCAGGGAGCCTGGTGCTCTCCGATCGCTGTGCCATAAGTGCTTGTGAGGTATTTGCAAAGTGCATGATAGTAATGCTCGGAGTTTTTATAATTTTAAATTTCTTTTAAAGCAAGTGTTTTGTACATTTCTTTTCAAAAAGTGCCAAATTTGTCAGTATTTGCATGTAAATAATTGTGTTAATTCTTTTACTGTAGCATAGATTCTATTTACAAAATGTTTGTTTATAAAGTTTTATGGATTTTTACAGTGAAGTGTTTACAGTTGTTTAATAAAGAACTGTATGTATATTTTGTACAGGCTCCTTTTTGTGAATCCTTAAAAACTCAACTCTAGGAAGCAACTACTGTTTATTATACTAAAAGGCTGAAAAACCTCCAGGCCAGACTGCTAAGCTCTGAAATTCCTGAGAGGTCTCAGACCGGGATTCTACTTGTTCCAAGAAAGGGTAAAGCTTCTAAACCATCTTATTCTTGTCTCCAAGCATGAACACAGGAGCATGTTAAGAAAATCTTTACTTCTTCCATGTGGAGAAATCTACATATTTTGAATTAGAAACACCCTCACACCCACTTGAAGATTTTTTCTTGGGAACATTATGTCCCATAGATCAGAGGTGATGTTGTCTTTGCCTCTACTGGCCATTGAGAAACTGATGATAAAAAAGAACGGTATAGATTTTCAAACGGATATAAAATATTTTTATGCTATGTTATGCCGTAACTTTAAAATAAAAATGTAGTTTAAAATTCTGTGCTAGTGGATATTTGGAACTTTTTCCTCAAACACCCCACACTGACTTCAACAAAACCCTAAAACTAGCTACAGATTACTACTATGAATGAATCATTAAGTTGTGTCCGCAACAATTTAGAAGCACTAAGCCCAAATACCAGGAGATGTATGTATAATGGAATTTTCTAAGACAAAACAGATCCAGATTAATGTATAAAAATCTCGACTGTTACCAGGTGCTGGCATACAAGGTAGTGTGATTGATAGTTGGTAAGATAATTCTTGTCCTAGGAGGACAGCTTGTGGGAGAGAAGCTACACTAACATGGAAGCCTAACAGAGCTTGCTGGTGGATGTCTGTTTTCTTTATTGGTAGTTTGGTTTGGAATTGTGATGATTACAATGGACTCATGACTACACAAGCAGTAAAAAGCAGCCAGCTGTGCTTTTACACCGTGGTTTCACACAAAGCAGATAAATACCAGAATGCCTAATTTTCTATTTTATAAAAGCCCTAAAGGCATATGGCAGAAGAATGCTGGAAAAATCACTGTGGGAAGAATATGCATAAATAAAGAAGTATTTCCTACATCAAAAAAGTCCCAAGAATCACAAAATCTGCAGAAGCTTGGTTAATCAAATACTGCAGTACTGATTTAATCAGTATAAAATCGAAAGAGCTTTAGATCTGTAATAAAAATCCAAATTTGGGGAAGGGCAAACTTTAAAACAGCAGCCAAGTAGAGAAGGGTTGGGGAAAGGAGAGGTGAGTGAACAGGCACGTTGGAACTGTGGGGACATGTAATTGACCACTGTCAAACCAGTGTAAGTTTCTTGGTTTCTCATGGAAAACATTTTATACACCTATTTTTCTTCCTTCCATACTTAAGTCCATCAGTGTCCAGATACGTCTGTTCCATTTTTTGGTGGGATATTACAACACAGTATTGCATTTACTCCAGTTCCTGCTCCGTGTGAAAAAAATTAGATGATTTCAAATACTTTCTTCAGCTCCACAATAAGCTGCCAGTCACTCTTCTGCATTTCGTCTCTGAACCAGTCTTTGAGTGCATCAATGGACTGCCGGCTGATCTGCAATGCCCGAGGCACAAACAGGGTAAACAGAACGTAACAAACATGTGCCAAAGAAAGCTGTGGCCCCAGACGCCCGCTCTCACCGTAATAAAGCTTATGCAGGGCTTGCCTGCCTAAGGGAGTAGAATTCCGAAATCACATCTGGTTGGTATGTCAGGCACAAGGGGATCTAAAAGTCCTAGCTTTCTCTGTTGGTGCTGCTTTCCTAATGGGGCAACTTCCTCAAAAGACAAGGCCCAGCTAAAGGTCAGGCCCTAATGGGGGATCCAGTCCCATCAGATACTACAATCAAACTGAAGCCCAAGGAGCTTCTGGGCACAGGTGACCCGAGAAGAGTGATTCCCCATTTCTTAAAGTCTGCCACTTTTGCCGAAATGCTTACCTTACTGACAAGAATGTCTGTAGCTTCAAAATGTCTTCCAAACATTTTGGGTGACTCACCAGGGATAGGTTCTATTTTTACACAGACTTCTTGTCCTTTTTTTGCAACATCTACTTGTTTATGGTTTATTTCAATACTTGTTACTATTCCGATGTCAACAAACTGTAAAATAACATATTACAATGCATGCTGAAGAATTCATGCCAATCACAGGCGCCATGGCTGGACAACTGAAATAAGAACTGGAGCAAAAGCCTGTTTTAAAAGTCATGGCAGTGCGATCCTTCATTCATCCCTTAAGGTCTCACAGTGTAATGTTTTGGTAAATTAGGCTGGCACCACCAACACCCTGTTCCCTTCACGACGGCTGTAAGAATGACAGGAGATAATGTGCTTTGCAAAACATTCCAAGTGCCCTGTTGACCCAATGTCATTTTGTATTTTTGCTCTACCATTTCACATGACAGGTGCCATAATAGAAGGGATCAGCAGGCACAACGGGTCTGAGTCAGGAATGAGCTTGAAGTGACTGGTGGGAATGAAGTCAGAGTGAGGACTGATCCTGAAATTTTAAGAATGATGGCCTGTGAGCAGATGAGTGATGTGATCTCAGAGTTTGGGGCAAAAAACCCTGACTCCTTTGTGGAGAAAAGGATTCAGGAGAGTAAGAGTGAAAAAAAAGAGAGCTCTGTTTGATTTCGGAGGCCAAAGCCACATAGAAAATAACACAAATGTCCTGGCTTAGTCCACTGAAATGGTAGAGAATCAGTGACAACTTCTAAGTGCCACTGCCCATTACAGGAACCAGGTTTGGGGCAGGGAAAGTACTAGATGAGGCTGGAACATCTCACTGCACCAGAAAGGAAGAAGATGCTCAGACTACTGTGTGGCAAGGATATAGGAGCCAGTTTAAATGAGCTCCTACTGACCACACTGGACAATCTATCAAAAGAATAAAGGTAATGGATTATATTTAAAACAAAACAAAACAAAAAAAACCCCTGCTAAGTCTATGAGTCAATAAAAAGGTCAGTGGGAAGAGGTTCTTTCTAAGAAATGGGGGGACAGGTATATCCACAATTTTGCCACCATCTATGTAACAGCTGACAGGCAAGGCTTGCCAGTGGGTACGAAAACCACTGGGATAAAGGCTGTTGGGAAACAGGATGTCCATTGGGAACTCCAGGTACCAGATAGATTACAGAGTAATTACAAAGGGCAAGTTTCTAATGGAGATGACTGGCGGCTAGCACTTCCCCAGGGAAGAAGAGCGTCGGCAGCAGTGAGACAGGCTGGCTCATGCAGGACGCAGGCACACAGGGAAACCGCATGAGTGTCTCCAATAATGCTAACCTGTGTCTACTCGGGAGGGAGAGACAGATAAATCCAAATGGAGAAGGAATTTGCAAAACCACTGGGACACTTCAAAAAGGATGGAGGACTGTTCTTGACTGAGGCTTAACCACAAAACAGCCCCAGTACAATGCAGTTTGCAGGGCACTGAGCCAGATCCGTGGGGAGAGTTAGTTACCAAGACATCTTTGGGATAATTGGTGAAATGCTGAGGGCTGCAAATTATAGGATATTGTTGAAATATTATTAATTTTTCTTAGGTATGCTGATACAAAGGGAAGGTAAACATGGGTGTTCATTATACTAATTTTTAAGCTTTTCCACAGGCTTGAAACCTTTCAAAATAAAATAAAAGGCAGTAATTTCAAGTGCCTTGGAGCCCAATTAACTGAAGCACGAGATCAGGGCTGACTCAACACTGACTATGGAGCACTGGTATTTACCAACACTGAAGCACGGCAGGTGACAGGCTCTGCTTGTTTTAAAGTTACCACATTTTCTTCCTACTGAGGTAAAACACACTGAAACATTTGTTAAGAAGGTGGAGACCACACTAAATACACAGCCCAGTACTGTGACCTACAGGCACAAAGCTGTGTTGCTACGACTCTTGGACACACATTTACTGCTTTAAGAAATGACCCACAAAATGTACAACTAGAACTTACATTTTTGCTTGGGACACACATGGGTGTCCCCTGTTTCACCTGACCTGCTTCCACTGTCACCCCCATCACTATCGGATCTCGAGAATTAAAAATGTACTGAGGGAGGATTTTCATCTTGCAGGGAAATACTGCTATGTGCCTGAAAGAAAAAAAGAGAAGAATTTTTAAGCTTACAGAATCACTTAAATATAAACAGAAAAACTGCAGCTGAACATCAGGCTTCTCGCATTAGAGGAACAAGGTGCTTCTTCCTTTTCTTCTTAACCTCCTCCTCCTCCCCATTCTACTGCTTCCCAAGTCTGGGCTTTCTTCTCTTTTAAAGCCCTACCTCCAACAGAAGCTGCATCACAGGAGCGTTCTGTTCCTAGTCTGAACACTGAGCTTGGCTGCTGAAGATGTCAGCCAGGCTGGGGCTTAGAACCTAGGCAGCACCTGGTGACAGGCAGGGCTTCGTTGGGCACGTGTGTAGGCTACTGGGGGACCACAGAGGCATCAAACCACATTATCACCCTGCTTTTCTCCACCACATTCCCAAACCATGGATCCAGAAGGCCACTACATGGCGACCCCGCTTCCTGAGCACACGCTTAAAAATGCGGTCAGCGTTTCCGGCCGCGTCTTAAGCAGAGTTCTTCTCACTCCAGCTTTCGTGATCTAAAGTGAGCACATACCAGTCTAAATCCGAATATTTACTAGTAAGCGCCACTTAAAAATGTATCCCAAACTTCACCATCACTCCTATCCTCACTGTGGTCTGAATCACCTAGACCTCTTGCTTGGACTGTGGGAGCCTCCTGACAGGGTCTTGCCACTGACTTCCTAACAACCCAAGGTCCACATAACAACCCAGTGAGCCAGTCTGATGGTGAACACAGCCTTGGCAATGGCTTCTTGCACAACTCAGAGAAGCTCAATCCTTCCCATGGCCTGTAAGATCCTTGACGATACAGGTCCCACCACCCTCTCTGACCTCATTTATCACTGTCCCCTCTGGTCACTCCACCTCACACTGCTGTTCTCTCTGGACACTCCCCATGGGCGCTCTGTCTGAAGAGATGAGATGCCTTCCTCAACCACATCATTAATCACAGTCTCTCCTCTCCTTATCTAGGCCCTTCCCTGCTTTATTTGGTTTTTCAGCACTTCTCAACATGTGTTGATTGTCCTGCAATAAGAGCCTGTCCCAGACTAGGCACAGTGGCTCACATCTACAATCCCAGCACTTCAGGAGGCAGAGGCAGGTGGATCACTTGAGCTCAGGAATTCAAGACCAGCCTGGCCAACATGGCAAAACCCTGTCCTACCAAAAATACAACAAATTAGCCAGGCATAGCGGCGTGAGCCTGTAGTCTCAACTACTCGGGAGGCTGAGGTGGGAGGCTCACTTGAGCCCAGTAGGCAGAGGCTGGAGTAACCCGTGATCATGTGACTGCACTACAGCATGGGTGACAGAACGAGACCCTGTCTCAGAGGAGGGAGGCCGGCCTGGTTCTTGGCTGATGCTTCCTCTACCACTGCAG